CTCTCGGCTCTCTTTGTTGCCGCGCTTGCTCTCTTCTTGAGCGAAATGTCGAGGGATGCACTGATGCACGTGCGTTGTTTCAAGTGTGTTGGTGTGTTTGTGTGTGTGTGTGTGTGCGTGAAAAAGATTACAATAAACACATTTTAGCAATATTACATATTTGGCCTATTTATTAAATACACCTCCCACTGTACACCGCCCACCACACCACCCACTGCTAACCACCACAACCCGCTCTCTCTCAATCACACAATCTCCCATTCCGATTAGAGTTGTTGCTGCTCAAAGAAAGAGACAGCGACTACGACGCAGCTGTACAGTGATCTAATAACGGTTAAGGTTGCGATTATCTGATTGGAACTGTGTGCTTGCATCGGCAAAATGCCAATACGAAAACGCTGGGAGGCACAAATCCAACTGGAAACAAAGCGGCACATGCATTCGGAAAGAACTAAGTACTTTCTATTGATTTTGGTTCGAACTTATTTGAAGATTGGACTCGTTATTAACCTATATACTATCAACGAAGTACTCTTCATTCTAAAAATGGTTAATTACAATCAAGAACTCAATGAAATTGCTATATATTGGTACCGAAAACCAACTGCGATAAGGTTTATATACGGAAGTGAAATTAATTTAACCCATAAAACTGAAATTTGGTAGCTACTTCTATGGGCTAATCCGGGCCTTTATTTAATTTCCAGGCCACTGAGGCGTGGTCAGTGACACCTCCATTTTTTAGCTCTACCTCTCTAGACTAATTAACCGTATTCGTTGGGTTCTGCTGTGTTCTGTTCTGGCCGACAAACAAACTGGCCCTATTGTTATTTATATGGGCCCGAAAGCAGTGTGCAGCGCTGGCAGCGACGCTGGCCGAGACGTCAACGGTTTTGGCTGGGCGGGCAAACACAGTTATGTTTCGAGTTTTTTGATTCTTTACTTATTGTGCAATGATCCGAGGCAACTTAATTGCTTTTCGTTTGGGTTTTTGGCTACGACGAGAACGAACGGCAGTCAGTCAGTCAGTCCGGTGTCAGTTCAGTTTGTTTTTCCAGTAGATTTTTTCCACTTTTGAGTTCTCTTTGCGCTACGCTGCACTTCAAATGCTCAACAATTGTTGTCTATCAAAAAACGCTCCCCCCACACTCCACACCAAAACTTTTGTCATTGTGGGAGGACGCATAAATAACGCCACTGATAAAAAATGGGCGAAGGGCAAGCGAATCTAAAGCTCGTAATTATGGCCAGCCAGTCAGCCAGCCAGCTAGCTAGCTAGCACTTTTTTTTTTTTCATTTTTTTTTATCAGCTCTCAGCGTTTCACTTACATAAGCTGTTAAAAAAAATAAAAAACGGAAAACACGTTGGAAAATTGCTCTGTGAATGCGAGAGCGTCTGTTTGTGAAGTTGGAAAATTTGAATTTCATCAACGGCAAAGCCCAGCGAAAGCAAAGACAGCGGGCAAAACAATCATGATAATTAAATTGAGTTCACTGATGCGTATACTTAACATTAAATTCAAAGCCAGAAGCAAAGCAAAATGCTGCTGCTGCTGCGCTGCTCTGACTCTGCCTCAGCCTCTGCCTCTGGCCCTCAGTCAACGTCGTCGTTGTCGCAATCGTTGGAAAAAAAATATATAAAAATCAGCAACTGCTTTAAAATTTGTATGAAAAAAAAAACAAAAGAACCTTCAACTGCCAGAGGTTTTGATTTCCTTCCTTTTTTGGTCAGAAGGAGGATGTGCTTGTTGTTAGAAACGGAACAAAAAATTATATAGGTTAGCACTATAGCCTTCGCATCCCTATCCCAATTGGAACTTGGGCTATATACTCGGGCATCCAGAGAGAGAGTAACAGAAAAAAAAAAACAGAGAGAGAGACGCGCAGAGAACCGAGAAAATGTGTGCCGCGTTGGGAACATGCAAATGTGGGACTACTGCCCACGCAACACCCACTTTTCCACCCACTCACCCACTGCCAACAACAATGTTGCCAAAGAAAAGGAAATATTTTGAGTGGATGCTCTCTGGGAAACATATATGCACTAGAAAAAAATTGTATGAAAATGTCTATGCCAAAAAAAATTGGATTTTGTAAGTGTTTATTGCATTTATAAAATGTCGCCAAAAATGTATTTTGTAAAGTATTTTGTTAATGCTAAAATGTATTCTTTGTAATTTAATGGACAAATAGCTGACTATATTTTATCTTTAAATATAAAAAGCAGATCTAACTAAAGGTTTTTGTTTCAGAAGGCGAAAACTTCAATTTTAAAAATGACTTTCTTATCAAGGAAAAGTTTCAAAAGTCAAATGTTTTACTAGAAAAATGTCTAAAACTCATTACATTTAAATAGTTTCGTGACCTACTTAGAAGTATTAAAGTTAAAAATAATCATTTTCATGGAAAATAGCTGCCATAAAATGTTGATATCAGTAATATCGAATTCAGTTGAGTTTGTGTCCAACGAAAATCAAATTAAATTACGTATACTTAACTTTATCAATTTAATGAGGCAAGTTGGGAATTCCCTTCAGAGGGTTGGTCAAAGCGGCCGTCAAAGCTGGCATGCCCCAAACTCCGTGAGAAAAGGGCAAGCGGAAAATCAAAGCCACTTTTTGCGCTCTTAAGTGCAAAAATCAAACACAAGCAACCCCCCAGAGCTAGTCTCTCTCTCAAACTCTCTAAAATTTCTCTCTCGAATCTCCCCACCGATATCTAGCTATATCTTTGGCTCTCATCACTGCTCTTCGTGTGCATTATTTATTGCTCTTATACAGCCCGAATGCTTGACGATGACGAAGGTGCGCTCCACTGTCAGTGTCACAACCCCCTGTCATTTCCTTTCCCTGTCTCTCTCTCTCTCTCTTTCTCTCTCGCTGTCTTTCTCCACCTTTCCCTTTCTTACCCCCGCCCGGTTTGGGCCCAGTTAACTAGTAAACCAGCAACCTATAATGGAGCCTCTTCCGCGTTGTTATCCCTATCCTACCCCGCCATATTCCCCACAGAGAGAAAAATTATCAGCCATTAGTCATGAATTCGCTATGGTTATGATGTAACGATGGATTATCTGGGGAGTTGTATTTGGATATCCATTTTCAGTCATTTTTACCTTGCCTAGAAAATTCCTCTAGGGATTTCTTCTTCATTTATCTAGCAAACAAAGGCAATATTTTATCTTGATTTTTTTCTTTTCTTTTTAAGTTTAATAAACAATTTTAGGAAGATAATTGTAAACAAAAGAAATATTTAATACGTCATAGAATCTATGATATGATAGTAAATATGTATAAGTAAATACAAAGAAAATTTTGATAAGATTGTTTGAAACTTAAGATTAGTTTGACTGTAAAACTTCATTAAATTCCATAATATTAAGTATTTTTCGTTTATTTTCGTTTATTTAACTTTCATTTCTAAGATTTTCTCCCTGTGGGCTTTCCCAATGTTATCCCTTTTTTTCGCATCCCGGAAAATGAGCACCAGCTGTCTGCCATTCTCTTTCGATTCCCCCCCATTTGATGTTGTTTGTTTTGTTTTGCGCCTGGTTGTATAATAAATAACTTTGGAATAAATCAAATCGGATCCTGGCGCAATGGACACACGTTAAATGGACCGGGAAATGTAAGCGGGGGCATCATCATCATTTTTTATTGGGTCAAAATCAACAAGAGCAGTCAGCCGACGACGTCGGCGACCTTAAAACGCATTAGCAGCCGCTGTCGGCCAAGTCGTAATAATTTTATTAGCAAACATTAGAAATATAAAAAAAAAAATGCCGCTGCCCAGAGGCAAAAGAAACCGAATTATGTATAAAAAGTGGCTACAATTTCGAAAGGTGTGTTGGCTTTTTCAGAAGTTCAAAACGCAAATGGTTTGGCGGTGGGGAGGTGGGCTCTAAAAGGGGGAGGGGCTGTGACAAGTGCAGGCGTGCTCAAGGTAAAAACGCCGCCGTCTCAGTCGCCGCCAGCAGCGCTGTCAACTGCACCTCGGTCGAAATCCGAGTGCAAGATCAAGTGAAGCGAGTGGCCGAAAAACTACACAGAGAGAGCCTCTAGAGAGCGAGCCATATATCATTTTTCCATTATAAAAGATAAGCTATCGACTCGGAGATACTCGGTAGACGTTACTGAAAAACTATCTTAAGCAAAGCCACATATATTAAAAAGTGAGAATTGCTAGCGAGAAGTTTTAACTTTTAATGCATAAACCCAAAATATGAGATTCTAAGGAAACTAGAGATGTGACATAGCTATGGAGAGTAACCGATAAACTAACGATCCGATAGCTAGATAGTAACTGTTGAACTACAAATCAATTGATCACTAAATCCTAAAGATTTAAAGTTAAATATATATTAAGTACTCTTAAATCCCCATCTTAAGATCACTCTATCACATCCCCAACCTAAGAACAGGGTATTTAAGTTGGTCGCGCGGGTGACAATCAGACACTCTGTCTCCTTTCCACCTTCCGCCACAGTCTCGCTCGCACACGTGCAATAGAAGTGGTTGTTGTTTTGTTTTTTAGGCATTCTGGAGGCGATGCTGTTTAGGCCGCTTTAGTCAAGTGGCCAAGCAGCGACGTCGACTGAGGCAGAGTTAGAGGCAGCGACTGGAGCAGAGGCAGCTGCGACTAGATAAAAAAAAAAAGAACAAATTGACTAAGCACGAAACACGTTTTAGCCAGAGTTTTTAGCCAGACCAGCAGCTCGAATCGGAATCGGAATTGGAATCGGTGGGAGCGGGATGGAGCGAATGACACACTGACCCAATTCCGGGTTTCGATTTTCTGGTTTTTCTCAAGAATACACGTTTTCCGCTGCATAAACACACACACATCGACAAATATGCGCGCGGAAGAGGGAGAGCGGGCGAAACGAGTTGCATGGCCAAGAATTTTCGCCTGGCATTTTTCATTTTCCCTGCAAGTGACACATTCCCCAATGTTTCCCCTGCCTCTCTATCTCTCTCTCTCTCTCTTTCGAAGTAAAAACTCACCGTTAGTTTGCGTCCTCCGTGGAGATTTCCCAGATTGATTCCAATACGTTGCATACGTTCGCAGGCTGTGCGTTACGTTTCTTCTTTTTACGTGAGAGGACACCGTTTACAGTTATAGTTGCAGCAGTTACGTATCATCTATATCTCTCGTATACGTTTATCATAGATATACAATCTCCAGATCTATTATTCAATCACGATGCGTGGTTCCAACGGACGTTTAACAAGAACAAGAAGACCAAAGACGATGGGATGGCGAGTTTATGGTTGATATTCTCTTGGTAGTTGTAATTTTTTTCTTCTAATTTTTCAATATTTTGGTGGTGTTTACTTGTATTTTTTTGTTGTGTTCCGATTTATAACTATTTTATTTGAATATATTTTGCACTAGAGAACTTACTTCCTACGAATCACAATTAGAAATGAGTGTGAGGCGATAACCGAAAAGGAGACCTTCTGTCAAAGTGAAAAACTACGCGCCGTCTACTTGGGCAGACGAAAACAACCAAAACACTGGGACAGAGACCAACACATGTGTTTTCGTTTTCCCAATTATTTCTTATTTTAGTTGCGTGTACAAGAAAAATTCAGCGGGAAAATGCAAAACTCCTGGTCAAGACAATTTCCTTCAAATATTTACCGTTTAACGATATATAACACCTACAACTGCTCTCGTGACGTAACGCGACGGTGACTGGTGGGACTGAGTGAAAAACACAGCTACGGCGCGTAACTCTGGTCTGGTGGAAATGCGGCGCACGAATTTCACGCATTTCCCTTTTCAAAAAAGAGCAACGACAAGCACCGCGAGAGTGAGAAGGAAAATGTCGGGGATCAGCTGTTGGATACCAGAAAATATACTAACATAACGCCTTTTGTTGTCAGTGTGACCTTGTTTTGCTTGGTTTGCCCATCTTATTGATTTTCCACTTGTTGCTGCTGAATTTTCCGAAGCAAACAAAAAAGCTAAAATCCGAAGCTCAAGCTTAAACTTTACTTGAAATTTATTCTCCCGATAATTACCGGTAGAACTGGTCTCGCGGTTAAAAACCCCCAGCTGCGTTCAAAGCTCCCGCTCGATTTTGACTCACCAAAGTCGAAATTCTCGTGTTTTTCGCATTTCAGTTTATTCCAAGCTTCAAAACTGGCAGCACGCATTATGTCCGCAGGTCGAGTTGTTATTTACGGCGGCAAGGGAGCCTTGGGCTCGGCCTGTGTCGATCACTTTAAAGCCAACAATTATGTGAGTTACCTTTCACTTAAATGTACAATTAAAATGCCTCATTAACTATTGTTTTCTCCGGTTGCGACCTTCACCTGCATAATTCCATCCAGTGGGTTGGCAGCATCGACCTGACAGAGAACGAGAAGGCCGATGTCAGCATCGTTGTGCCACGCGATGCTGCATGGTCGGAACAGGAGGAAACAGTGGTCTCCAAGGTGGGCGAATCCCTTGCCGGCGCAAAACTGGATGCTGTGATCTGCGTTGCTGGCGGCTGGGCAGGTGGTAATGCCAAAAAGGATCTGGCCAAGAATGCCGATCTCATGTGGAAGCAGAGCGTCTGGACGTCTGCGATATCCGCAGCTGTGGCAGCTCAGCATCTCAAAGAAGGTGGACTTCTTGCCCTAACCGGTGCTAAGCCCGCTCTGGAAGGAACTCCTGGCATGATTGGCTATGGAATGGCCAAGGCAGCTGTTCATCAGCTCACCCGATCGCTGGGCGGTGAGAAATCCGGTCTGCCAGCTGGTTCCCTGGCTGTGTCCATCCTTCCCGTAACCCTAGATACACCCATGAACCGTAAATGGATGCCTGATGCGGACTTCGGCACCTGGACTTCTCTCACTGAAGTGGCTGGACTCTTCCTGAAGTGGACTCAGGCTCAGGAGAGGCCCAAAACTGGATCTCTGCTGCAGCTAATAACTAAGAATGGCGTTACAGAGCTCATAGCCGCCGAATAGACTTAGAGATAGGAGGAATATGGATAAACTTATTGACGGAACACATATGCTCAAAAAACATAATCTAAATGCTTTCGCTTGTACATAAACTATTCATAAATAAATCGCTGGGCGGCTTTCGATCGTTTAATGTGGTTCTGTTTACACGATTTGGGGAGCTGTGGGGATAACCTTTTGAACTCGGGAGCGGAACGATCGTTTAAATCTTGTCTAGAGTACAATCTTTTAGTTTGATTTGCAGTTCAGCTTGCAGATAGTTCCTAAGTCTTCTTCTTTTTCATTATCTTCATGAATAACACCATGCCTGTAAATCGAAAAGGAGAATAAACTCATTAGTATGATTAAGCAAAATCCGAATGCAATAAATCGATCCAGTTTAAGCAATTTAATTCTAAACTGACTTACGGAAAACTTGTTTACTTCAGTTAAATGACCTGATGTATACAAGTCTCTCCGTGTTTTCCTCATACTGTTTTATTTTTAAATAAAATAATCTAATTAAGAGTCATTTATGTAAATCAAAGTGATCAAGTTTGGTTCTTTTATTATGAATATTTATACTTTTAGTAACCAAGCTAGAAATTTCTAATATCATATTGGAAAAGTTGTATTTCTAAACGGATCTAGAAAATATAGCGAACCATTTAAAAGCTAAAAGTTGGCACCAGTAGCTCTACTTAGTTTAATTTACCAAAAATAGCTCTCGGGGAATTTCTTTGGGGGATCTTAGACTAATTTAACACTAAGCCACATGACTCACCTATAAACGTGACAATTACAAAGACAATCATAAGCCAGAGCCAGCACTTGTAGGCTTTTTTCGAATGTTGCTCCAGTTTATCAGCCTCTTTTGCTAGGGAATTAAGATTGCGATCAGCCATTCCGGTGGAACGGGATACGACCTCCGTATCCCGGCGTATAATTTTATTGGCAGTCTGCGTTTGTTCCTTTAGATTCCGAGTCAGCGATAGCATGTGTTCCGTGATCTTCTCCTGAGCATTCGTATAATACTTGGCAGCCTCATTCATATTTTCGCTAGAAGTTCCTTGTACGGTTCCAGAACCAGAGGGGCTGGAAGAGGACTCATCCACTCCTCGACGCCTTCGCACGGCATCACCATCTAACAGTACGGATATAAATGGATAAATTGAATAACAATATATAAATAATATTTCCAATAAAAACAATTCAGTGAAAGTAAAGGATCACCCTGCAGTAGCTGCTTTCGAAGTTCGTTGTGATGTTTGGTGTTTTGCAGCTGCCTCATTTCTTTCAGTGCATTCTCCCCAGTTTCGCTGCAAGATGCGGATTGTAAAGGAGTATTTGATGTGGAGCTGGCGGTTTCTGTAAAGCCCGTGGATATTTTCAGGGCCTTTAGACGCTCCCTATAGCCCGGTATACGTGTAGCACTCTGCGGATCGTCCATGGCCTCCAGGTCGGCGATCATTGTGTCCAGGGACTTAAGGAACTTCTGTAGCCTCCAGAAGTTTTGCTCGTTTTCCGCGAGACCCTCGCAGTTAATCAAAAGGGTCCGGATATTTACATTTAGCTTCGTGGCCATTTTCGAGGGGAAAACATGAAAACAACAAAGTACAAATTCCTAAAGGTATTTAAAATACCAAAAACAACACTATTTGATAGTCATCATATGGTCTTATTCGTCTGGCGATAGTAAACTATCGATATCTAATCATGAATAGTGATGACAAATTTTTTGTTAAGTTAACTAATTTATATGACAAATGTTAATAAACTCGCTTTTTGGAAAATTTTTCGTCAGTTACCCTGTAATAATTATTAAATAGTCAGGATAAAGAACAATAAATAGTCTTGTGATATATGACAATTTATCTTTTCTTTGAGTTAACGTGTCAAAATTTTCGAAACATACTTTTCGGAGCCAGCATAAAATCTTATCAAAAGTGTCTGCCAATATCTGAAGTTATCAATTAAAACTTTTTTGATAGGCCCAGCATATGTGTATTACCATGCCTATGCAAAGGCATATTTTTAGAAGTAGTCGTCGTACGCCAGGTGTCAAGAACGTACGGGAGTCGATTTCAAGGTGGTATTTTCGTTAGTTTTTATTTTGAATTCCTTTAAAGTGCCGTTACACTTGAGGTGTGTTATCAAGCAGCTGACGGAGCTAAAAACAAAAAAACCAACCCCTTTGGGACGCGTGTGTTAACGGCACTTGAGGCCATGAATGAAACGCGGCTACATTCTCTCTCATACCTCGGCTTTCTCTCAGCTTTATTCTCGCCGCTCTCTTCGAGGCTCTCTTCCTGCGCAGCAGCAGTTAACGGTGCATGTTGAAAAGTCCCCTCACAAAACGTCGTGAAAATCGAAATCGATAAGTAAGCAACGGATTTTAGCTGCCCAGAAAAAGTCCACAAAATTTTAATTGAAAAACCCAGCGATAAGGTTCCCATTAAAAGTACTAATCCAGCTGAAAAACCAAAATCCACTCCGGACCATGTCCAAGAAAAGTGTTAGCCCAGTGTTTTAAATTCCGTAGTGTTAGAGCAACTAAAAAAAAATAAGCTAATCTGGGGACTGAGAAATCGATACGATATACCCGAAAAAGGGGGCTGCTGCGTGGGCTGCTGTAGTGAAAAAGTTCCAGCTAAAAATAGTATCAGTTTAAGCTTGAAGAAAAACCCTTGTTTTCCTTTAAGTTTCTATACCAGTGTTTTCATTGCATTTTCGTTACATAAGTTTTGAGAACCGTTGCTGCGTACCGAATCCATTAACGGCTTAAGAAACATACAACCACCTATATTTGCCACCCAGTTACACAGACAAAAATAACATGAATATATTTTATATGCACATAATTCCATATACAATTTGAGCTTATTTATCTTATCTATTTTTGATAATGGTCATTTGTTAAGAACAAAAGAAATCCATATAATTTGAAAACAAATAAATCACGAAAACCATATAAAAGAGATTTTCTACTTAAACTTGAAATCTTATAAAATTGGTATGAAACACAATATTTATATTTTTTGTTTTTCTTACTTAAAACTTGAAATAGTTTAAAAGTCGAAATACATTGATATATTTGAAATATCATCATATTATTATCATATCATATTAATTTTTACAGTTGCTAGAGGTAATGTAAGGCCATTTTAACGGGAATTGAATAGAAAAACCAAATCGTAGAGTGACCCGATTGCAGTAGAAAAATCCCCAAGATGCAGCCGCCGCCGCGTAAGGTAAAGCTTGAAAAAATACTAGTTTTACCATTTAGATCCTCAATAATTGTATATCCTGTAATCATGCAGGGAAACTATGTGAAATTCCTCAAGAATTTGCACACGGAGCAGGTGGCCAAGCTGCAGCTGAAGAATCAGCATGAGTGCGACCTGTTGGAGGATATCCGGCAGTTCACCATCAAGCGCTCAGCTGTCGAGAAGTCTTACAGCGAGTCGCTTCTGAAGATCTCGTCGCAGTATCTCAACAAGAAGATACCCAATATACCGGATATTAAGATGGACGGAATGGAGGAGCGATGGTGGGTATAAGTTTTGTTTTCGACTGACCATTATATTTTAACTACTACAAATCCTTTAATTTGTATACAGGAATATGTGGAGCGTTTGGCGCACGGTGCTCGAGGAGAACGAGAAGCTGGCTCGAGCTCGATTGGCCGCTATAGAGGTATTCCAACAGCAAATCGCTGACGAGGCTAAGGTACTCCGTGACTATAAGTTGGCCATAGCTAAGCGGTCGCTATCCGGAATTGTCAATGTACAGAAAGAACTCCACTTGAGTGTGGGCGATGTGGACAAAACCAAGAAATCATACTTTGACGAAGAGCATTGTGCTCACGATGTCCGGGATAAAGCTCGCGATATCGAGGAGAAGTTAAAGAAAAAGAAGGGCTCCTTCTTTCAATCAATCACTTCGCTGCAGAAGAACAGTGCCCGGGTCACATCTCGCAAGGAGTTGCTCGAGGAGAAGTCTTCGGGCGCCAGAAATGATTACGTACTTAGTTTGGCAGCTGCCAACGCCCATCAGAATCGTTACTTCACCGTCGATCTGCAGACCACGATGACCACCATGGAGAACTATGTCTTCGAGCGAGTCGCCGAGTACCTGATGCTAATGGGGTAAGCTTAGGGGATCTTTGGTCACTCTGATAATGTTAGGCGCCACTGATAAAGGTAGCTTTTTTTAGGAAACTATAAGATATGTATACAAAAAGTTAACTGGATCAATCTTAGATATAGTTTTTAGATAATGTTATGTGGAACTATATTATTAGAAATTCCCTTGGCTTTCTGTTCGATTTGATAAGATAGTATTGTTATTATTTATAATTAAGGTCATATCTAAACCCCTTTTGATATTTCCAGACGCACAGAGCTGCTGACTTGCTCGGCTACGCAGAATAGCTTTGGGAAAATCCGTGACCAGGCACAGCAGTTGACCCGGGAATACAATCTGCAGTGCTGCTACCTATTTTATCCCGTTCTAAAGCAGCACATCCAGTACGATTTCGAGGCTTGTGACAATGATCCAGTGCGCAAGGTGACCGCGGAGCATGAATCCGCTGCCGAGACACTGACCAAGGAGGCAAAGAATCTAGCCGGAAGGGTGGTCAAGGAGAACGCCTCGATTCGGGAGAATGCCAAGAAGTTGGCCCTTTGCCAGTCGCTGCGAGATTCTGGTCAGCGCAGTGACCCCAACGATCCAAATGGACCCGATCTGGACACCAAGATCGAGGAGTTCCGTGATCAAATCCGTCGATCTGAGACAGAGAAGACAAAGGCGGAGGCTTGCTTGCAGTGTCTGCGGGATGGTGGCATCAATGTGGATGAGTGGGTGCAGGAGGCCGAGATTATGGGCGTGCAGGAGCTGACGCGTTCGGCCAGTTCGATTTCGATGCGCACCGATGCCTCCGGACAGGGAGAAAATCCCAGCTCGGATTCTTTCTATGACAGCGATAAAGAAGAAACCCAGACTCAGACAGCTGCCCAATCGAAACCCAAGCAGGAGCAGCAACTCTCCAGGGATCGCACCTTTAGCGATAGTGACGATGAACCCGAAGTGCGTCCATCGGCGGCAGCAGCTTCTTCGGCAGCTGCTGCTTCCTCATCTATGATGGCCAGCAGCGCTGGTGGCTGGGATGATCCCACTGAGGTTAATTGGGGAGCTGCCGAGGAGGAGGAGGACAAGGAGGAACCGATTGTCCCAGAGCCTAAGGAGGCTATCTTTAAGTGCACTGCGCTCTACAGCTACACGGTAAAATAGTAGCATTCTTATATCAATATGTCACGATAATATCTTTTTCTTTTTTATATACCTCAGGCCCAGAATCCCGACGAGCTCAGTATCGTTGAGAATGAACAACTCGAGGTAGTTGGCGAAGGTGACGGCGATGGGTGGCTGAGGGCCCGCAACTATCGCGGCGAGGAGGGCTACGTGCCACACAACTATCTGGACATCGACCAGGAGACAGCGGGCAGCGCCTTTAATGGTACTTCCGGCAATCAATTGCGCTCTCAAATCTCATTCTCATCTGTCGATTATACCGTTGACAATGAAGATCAGACGGTGGACTCGATGCAATCGCCCGACCAGGTGTCGGTCATCATGGCGCCCCAGAAGAGGGTCAAGTCGGACGTGGAATGGTGCATCGCGCTGTACGACTACGACGCCACCGCCGAGGATGAGCTGACTTTCGAGGAGGGCGACAAGATCAAGATCATCACTAAGACCGCTCATGGTGTGGATGATGGATGGTGGGAGGGTGAACTGGATGGCAAGTTTGGTAACTTCCCTTCGCTGGTCGTCGAGGAGTGCGACGAGATGGGTGAACCGCTCAGCGAAGGTGGTGATGAATCCCCTCCACCCACCGCGGCACCCAGCTTTGCACTGCCTCCCGCTCCGGCACTGCCGCCAGAATACGCCCACGAGCTGGAACTGGAGCTCACCGAGGATATGTTTGGCTCCCAAGATACAGCAGGTAAGGATTTCCATCTGCTTTATTGTTCTTACAACTTGAATTTTTATATTAAGTCTATCTCCTAGTCGGTTTAGAGATATGTAGATAATTTAAGTTAATAATCTTACTTCCACTTGATCAACAGATGAGGATAGCGGCTATATACCCAACGGCGCTGCTGCCCCGAGTATGCCTCCGCCAGGTAAATGCCAAGTCCCTCCCTAACGCCTGATCTATTGTTTCCCCTATCTATCTCTCTTTATATACTATACAATATATCTGTCACTCGATATCGATTCCTCTAGTACCGAACATTTGTTTAATTTTTAGCTTTCCACTATCAAAAAAAAGATAAAACCAAACAAATTTCCGATCAAAAGTACTCTTATACCTGCTTCTATATTCTCTAGAGGTAAACCTATTCTCCAAAGTGCAGCTCGTCTAACTACTAACCACTTGTACCACCACTACTACCACCAATCCACCACAAAATTACCACCAATAACCACCATTTATCACTGTAACTACTCTCCACTACTCTCTCTCTCTCCGTTAATGTGCTATTTTGTCTCTCGTCTCCAAAAGTCTCCGCAAGTCTCCGCAGCCGAGACGAAATCAACTGATGAAATGTCCTGCGATTTTTTTACAGTGTTTTATACTTAGGCTGCTTGTCAGAAAGTGTCGTGCCGTGTTTACCGTTATTTCTCCATCTTCGATTTATTTCTTTTTGCAGCTTCTCTTTATCTCTATATATATACGTATTATATATGAAGATATAACTGTGATGTGTGTGTATGTCGCACTAATATTTCTATTTAATTGCATTTAAAGCTTTGATTGGTTATTGATTTTTCTAAATATCACGTTTTTCTTTCATTGCCGTTTTGCATTGGTTGTTTTTCTCTCAGTGTAATTGTGTCTTTGTGTCATTTAAGGCCAGAACCAAAGCCAAACCACTGCCAAGAAGGGTAATTTAATAAATATGCTCTTTTATCTAAACTATCTTATCCCCAAAAACTTTTCTTGATTCAGTAACTTTCTTAGAGTAGGAAAATCTGTTTCTAATTCCACTGTTTGAGAGCATGACAAAAAAACCCTCTTAACTCTTGTTAAACTTATACATCGAGACTTTCTTCTTCGTATATAGAAACTATATATCTATGTTCAGTATGAGGTTTTTCTCTTAACTTTTTATAACTATATTCCCAAATCTTAAAAACTTATAAAGTATATCCAACATTTAAGAGAGGCCCATATACTTGTATATATTTATGTATAACCCGATAGTTTTCCATATGCAGTTCAGTAGTTATCAGACTGAATTTGGACATCTCAGATGTTTATATAAAATACCATAGTTATCTATTTCCACTTCCCGCATGTTTGTCAGCCTACGATCCGAATAAATGTATCTTAAAACTTTACTTTTGCTATATTTTTTTGAGTTTCTATTTTAGTTTATACTTGCCAAAAACCTAATCGTGTACTTAGATAGTTTTTGTTCCAAGGCTGCCTTGACTTGATCCATTTTTAGTTTCCTCCTCACCGCTCTATAACATTTTGATCGATAAATCGTATTACTATAAGATTTATTATTCCGAAAATATGACTGTTGACTAAGCCAATGAATATGTTCTCATTTATTTTTAAACGCATACTCAGTACTCATCCAAGAGCCTGGCATGGAGGTAAAATATTAACATATTTAAAAATCCATTTTATTTTTTAAATATATATTTTTAAGTTTTTTTTATTGATTAAACAATATAATCTATAATTTTACAAAATAACTAATAACCTCTTTTTTTTCCAGGACGATCTCAGTGACGATGGGCAGCCGCCGCCGTCGTTGCCGCCGCCCCAGCTAGCCAAGCCCGGTGGATCCGCTCCTGGATCTGGAAGTAAGGTCGAAAAGGGGGCGGCGGCGGGCGGCGCCAACACGCTGAACTTAGGTATGGCACAAATAATTGTTACCGCTGCAACCCCCATGGTTGAAGACGGTGCCGATAAATCTTTCCCACCAGTAGGCGAGAGCGATGCTGCCCAGCCCGAGGAGCAGGCGTCCAAGGAACAGCCGACGGAAGTGGCCAAAAAGCCAGATATTGCGCCCAAGCCGCAGGCCAAAGTGGCTACCCAGAGTTCGGCGGCCAAAGAAGGTAATGCTGGAGGAGTGAAGCCCGTGGTGAGCATTACACTGACCGAGTATCCATCCTGTGATGCAGAGGACCAACAGTCCTTCTCGGAGGGCACGGACTCAGCATCGGTGGCCGATGTGCCGGCCCTGCAGGATGCCGAGGATCCATTCAACGAGAAGGCCAAGGGCGGTGATTCCAGCGGAGGCGGTGGATCAGGATTTGAGGCCAACTTTGAGGCCAACTTTGATGCCAACTTTGATGATGCGTTTGCGGGTAGCGCAGGATCTGGTGGATCCGGCGGAGGTGGGGGAGGAGGTGGGGAGCAGTCCAGCGAGTTGGACGTCAATGGAGAGGCAGCAGGAGAATCGGGATCAGGATGTGCGACCGGCGAGGAGGATATTGAGGCACCCAAACAGGTGGTCGGTGGGCGAGCTAGCATACCCGAGGAATTGGACTCAAATCAATTGGCACGTTTGCAAAATCTGAAGGAGTCGAACGCTTAGATTCGGCGCTCCGGCTCCAATCTTTTCCTCTTGGTCGGCACTTCAATGTTGTTTCTTTTGTTCTTTTAGGCACACGACCATGAGCATGATATATACTATATAGACTATAGCCACGGACAGTTATAGAGCGGATCAGCGGAACACCACAGCCACAGCCACAGCCACAACCACAGCCACATCCACAACCAAACCCCACAACACTTGAAAGCATTTTGATCTCAGACACCATCCATCCCACCACAACCTATCCAACAAATCCAAACACACAGATTATATATATATATATATTGATATATAGCCAGACTCAGACGGACTAGCAACTTATCGATCGGGTGGCGGAAATAGATTGTAGGAAGTTTTACTAATTGGACTTTTCCCTATATAAGTAAATAGAAAATAGTTTATTTTGGCTGCCCGATTTAACATACAACGACACAATAGCAGGATATAGAATATATGTACTTATATATCAGGTCGGGATCCCTCTCTCCTAATTCACGTACAGCGCTCAAATTGTGTACATCCATTTGAAAACTTCTTCTGACTGCCTCTGGGGTTATAGTTAGACATCAACTGGGCCTTCATAAACAAACAAACAAATAAAAAAGAAAAACCAAAACCACCATACGATATATATTACTATATAAAATATATACATAATTATGTTAGTTTGTAATGTGTTATACCCTCGGACACGTATGGAATACATTGATATATATATTAATATTATAAAATGGAATATTGTAACGTTTTGAAAGACAATTACTTATGTAGCACTCCAGACACGGGTCTTCGAATATCAGCAGCATCCACAACTAAACGAGCAATAATATGTATATATATCTAAGTAAATTAGAGTATCCGATTTAGCAGCATTAAGTTAGCCATTCGCTTTAACTTGTCGCCAACAACAACAACAACAACAACAACAACAAAAGCCAATCAACTTAAATGTCAATTCAGTTGGTCTTTAAGTTCTATAGCTTTTGTTCTTCGCTTCACTTAGTCCTAGGATCTCTGCACATTATAGTAAATTAATCGAAGCCGAATAACGAATGGATCGTTTTGGAATGGATACGGCGGATATATATTGTTGTAATTGTATGCAAATCACTAGCCTAATTAGTTAAATGTTTTTCGTGTCTAGTTAAATGGTCTAAGTTAATGTTGGATGCCAGAACGAAGATATTTGAAATTAGTGAAAAGCCTACTCAATGCGAGACTTTGTTTTGCGAATACTCTCGAATATAAAAGTTCATAAAACTCACCAATTGGATAACTTCATATTCACATAACCGATATTACAAGATAACTATAATGAAAACCGAATATATATATATGTAAGCCGCAAACTGAATTGTATGTAATTTTTGACCCCCGCGCCCAGTGAGTTAATCAAAGTTTTATGTCATAGTTTTGAAAGACCTTCTGTTCGAACAACTAACAAATAAAATTTCCACTTTAAAGCAAGAAAATGAAAAGGTTTTTCCCTGGTAATGGATTAAAACACATTTTAATTTTTTGTAATTTTTTTACATATCTTTATTTATATTCACTTCATTGCAATATTATAATATTCCTTCTTGGTTTGCATTTTTTCCCTTTGGATGTTTTGTTTTTTTCTTTTTAGTTTTAGTATTTAACTTAATAATATAGGTTCCTTCTTGGGTTTTTATCATTTACTTTCTTGTAACATTCATCTCTTATTATTTTCCCTTTTAATTATGTTTTTGTTATGTGTGTGTTTATTTTTTATTATTTTTATATGCTATAGATAATTATTCTCATTTCAGTTTTTTTTGGTTTTGGTTTTTGTTTTTTCTTTTTTTGGTATTTTCAATTTTGTTTTTCATTTTATATAACGAAATTAACACAGTCAAAATTTGTGATCAGTGATCAATCATTACATACGCATTACGTTTTAAATTATTCCTCTTGGTTTCTCCTCAAACATATGCTTGCTTATATACTTATGTGGGTGTTAATCTCTTCTGGATCTCTGTGGCTGATTGGGGGGGGGGTTGAGCAAACGAAATTTAGTTTGGGGGGGAAATCTGGGAAATAATCGTCTGAATGGGTTTTCTCGTGTAACCAAATAATTGACAGCAGACCAATGTGAACTAGAATGGGGAGTGCAGGCCGGCTGGCTGGTAATCATAAAACATGTTCATTTATTGCATTTAGGAACTCTTTTTGATGGACGGATAAAACCAAAAATTATATAGACACACTCCTCCTCGATCAGCTGATTATATATATATATATATAGCTGTTACTGCTTGACGATGGTATGAGACTTGAACCTGGTAAGTTGATGGCTGACAAATCATATACACATATACATACATATATATATTTCAAAAGCCAGGGCCTGCGGGGAGCTGTGGAAACTGAGGGTGTGCTGAGAGGGGTGGTGTTCCCTAATCTTAAAATGTAAATAACAAATTTTTGCATAATTTTCTTTTTTAATTTGCTTGAGCAAAGGGTTCAACGAATAATGAATAATTTCTCAAAACTAATGCTTTGTAATTAACAAACTAAAATTATGCAACGTACAACCGTAAGTGTGTGTGTGTGTGTGTGTGTGGTGTGAATATAGTGTGTGTGTGTTTGTGTTTTATCATACTAACAATTCATGGTTCAATCAATCAATATCTCGTCTTGCTGCCTAGGGTTATAGACTATTTCTCAATAATAAATATTCACTTGCATTAACTTTGAATTCATTTTAAAAATGTTCTGTTCTGTTGTTTTTTTTTTTAAATTACGTTTTCGGTGCAATCTGCATGAACTGGGATCTGGTTTCTGCTTTTCTTTTTAGTGTATCTTTCTGTATCTCTGATTCTGTATCTGTGTATCTGTGTATCTGTGTATCTGTGTGGTTCAACTTAATCGCTAGGGTTCTCAACTTGTTGGTTTGCTTATCTAAATACTTTAGAATTTCCATTGGTTTTTGCTTGTTTCTTGAGACCACCACATATACATATATCATATATATAATTAAATATACATCATATACATACATACGTAATTATTACATCGCCGCACGTATATATCGATCCTCAATATAGATTTACTTATTTAATTCTCCCACTTTTTTTCCTCTTCGGTTGCTTTATAAAACGTTGGTGTTGGTGTCGCCATCTAAATAGCGGCACCAAAAATGCTTCAAACATTTCATTGTGTGTATAATTTAACATTTTACATATTTTCATCGTTTTTTTTTTTTTTTTTTTTTGGTTTTATATTACTTTTTATATTCTTGAATGCTTCTTTTCCTCATTGTTTTTGTTGTTGTCCTAAATGCTCTTGCATACATATGCATTTTCATCGTCTTGCATCGTCTTAATTTGTTTTTCTTTTTTTTTTTTCATATATATAAAAAAGTCCTCACTATGGGGGCAACTAAAGGTTTTCATTTTTCTTGGGTTCTCTTTACCACAAATTATATAGTAAACTAGGTTGTAGAGTAAAAAATTCCATATGAAAAATTAAACGCATCAATTTGCCATTAAGTTTTTAACCTTTTCTCTTAAAATGTTTGTCAACTATTTCGCCTTTGCTTTTGTTTACAACTAAAATGGTTTTTTTCTCTTTTTTTGCTTTGTATTAATTTACGTTCTTTGGAAATACGCTCCGAAACCGTTGAGCAGCTATTTGTTGTTGTTGTTGTTCTTGTTGTTCTTGTCGCATCAAAAATTTATTTGACCTCATTTACGGGGATTATTAATTATATAGCATTTGTTTTTTTTTACGAATGACCATTAGCCATTTGTAAACATTTTGATTTTCGTGTCTTCGGTAACATAATTGATTTCTGACATTTGTATAGCTACAAAATATATCTATATATATGTGTGTTTGTGTGTGTGTGTGTGTGTGTGAGAGTGTTTTTATATATAAGCAGATATATGTATATATATATATTATTTATGTTCTTTATCACCGATTTCACTTTTATGCTGCCGAGTCTCGGGTGCTATAGCTATTTTGTTTTTTGTGGGAATGTGTGTGGCTGGTAGATCAATTGCAGTTTGCTTCAAATCCATTTCACTTGGCTTCGTAAATCAATAAATCAATCAGTAAATCAATAAATATATATCTTGGTAAACCTTATATTGCTTTCATTTCGCTCAGATTCCTAGTTAAGATTGTGAATACTCTTTAGCCAGCGGATAGAGTATAAAATGGTTCAACGATTTCCTTGACTAAGCAGACAGACTTTAGAGTGTGTGGCTAAAGGGTATCAGATAGTCGACTAACGACTCATTTACTCTTTAATTGTTTCATCTTTTGCCTGTTTAGGTGTGTTTTGTGTGTGTGTGTTGTCTAGATCGTTAATAAAGTAATTTTCCTTGGGGTCTCTTCTGTAGTCATTCTGCTGAATTGGTTAGGTTTTGTCCTTAAGAAGGGTTTAAAGGTTTCATCTTAAGATATATCTAGGCTTCCATAGCTGATCCATTTTGGGTCACCACCAAACGTCCTCGTCGTCGTTTTTCCATTCATAAGTACTTTTCGTATATACAGTTAATTGTGTTGTTTTTTTTCGGATTAGGGTTCAATTTTGGTTTGGTTTACATATAAAAAACTCGTGCTACATATACGTAGGTGCCTAAATACGTTATATGAATATATATATCTCATATACTTGTGTGTGTGTGTGTGTGTGTGTTTGTCGCCTTAAGCCATACTCTATGTACATTATCTCTGTTGTGTGTGTGTGTGTATTGGTTTTGGCCATATTATGGCGCTTAACTAAGTCCTAGCTTTAACTTTAGCTAACTGTACAAAATTCTTTAGCCTTACGATCTGCCCTTGCACTAATCATAAACACTAAATTAAAATTCATTGATGATATTTTGGTATGGCTTGCTTAGTTATCTCCATTGTGCTAAATTGTATTTTAATTTCTTTATTTTACGTTTAAAGTTAAACTCACTTGCCTTTAATTATGTGTTATAATTAACTTAACTCATTTTTTCTTCTTTCTTACTTTCTTTGTGTCTGTGATTCATCGAGGAACTTGAGCGAAAATTCAAATATATATTCGTATATATATATACTTGAGTATCTGTGTCTCATTGTCTGTTCTGTTTGTGTGTGTGTGTGTGTTTAGACTAACTTAAGACGGTGCATCGTAAGTATGTTTAATCCTTTTGTTTGTTTTTATCGCTTTATTGACTGCTTGAACGCATCCGAGATAATCGCTTAACCGGATTCGATTACATTAACTAAGTTTAATTGCGAAGTTTTGCTCCTACTTTGCTTTGAGAATGTTCCGAGTGTCGTCTTCTGTTTTGTATTTACAAATTGAAAATCAATTGTCTTCGTTTAAATATTATTTGTTTTTCTTTTTTAGCAACTATTTGTTAGACTTATTAGCTATTTTTCTTAGGCAGTTTCATTCATACTTGTGTACTTTATTTTCTATGTTCTATTTGTATTCGTTTTTGTTTTTATTTATTTATTTAATTTACTGGTATTTATTGGGCTTACTTGCGTTTTGAAAATTTTTCTCACTTAGACTTTAGATTGATTTCTTACGGTGCCGCAAAGTTGTCATCGAAAAGTTTTTGTTTTTTATTATTAGGTTTTTTTTTTAAGTTTTGGTTTCCTGGTGTTCGTGAGAGTGAGTGAGAGTGCATTTTGAATAATTTGTTGTTAGTTTAAAGTTGATATAAAAATTGGTGTAACTAAAATGAATCGTTATCGTTCATATTATTATTTTGCTATGTCAATTGCACTAACTATTTTTTATGACTTATGTATATCTCCGATGTTTGCATATCAAAAGGTGCGCTCCAAAGTAATTCATAATATTCGGTGTTTTAGTTTGTGTGTGTGTGTTTGTGTCTGTTTGGGGTGTGTGTGAGTGTGCAAATGATTAAAAAACCTCGCGATATTTACGTGTTCGATTTACATTTAAAGTTAAACTTAACAGAATCATTCGCCAAAACTGATTTGCAATTGTCGAAATTGTTAATTGCACTACATTTTGATTTCCTAATAAATTTGGCCATTTCACTTGGAAGCGCTAAGTCAGTTCTGAATAAACAAATCAACCAACTGAATGGGCAATCAATGGATCAACATAGTGAATTAATCGGTTATCGGTTTTCTTTTTCTTCTTTTGTTCTTATCGATTTCTGGGAGCGTGCTTTTGAAGAGGGGTATTCGCACTTAAGTTAAAGGAAGACTCTCCGGGTGTTTTGCTTTTCTTTTTTTTTGAAGTGGGAAGCAAAGGTCTTTCGTTACTTAAACTTAAACTGAAAACGCCGCAAAGATAATGGAAATTATTTAACCATTTAGAATTTTTACTTTTGAAATCAACTTTGTTCTTTCGACTGCGCTATTTTCGAGGGTTTTGCCATATATGTATAGTCATCCTTCGTTTAATGCCTATGTTGCGTATGATTTTTGATCGTTATATTTGTGGTGTTTTTAAATGGTTTTTAGTTTATCGGTTCATAATTCTTCTCAATATGTTCATTTATGCCTTTCGTTATATAATTTTCACTACAATTTGCTAATCTGTTGCTTTTGATTATTCTTCATTCATTTATACTCGTTTGGTTTTTAATTCTAATGTTGGTTTTCCTTAATTTGCTTTCCATTTTCATTTATTCTGTGTAAATCTATTTAACAATATTCTTTGCTCTCGACCTTGTAATATGTGTGTGTGTGTCCTTCCAGCTGCTTTGGTATTAAACAATAAACTGTTGCCTCTGCATTCTCATATCGCTAGTTAAAATTAGTTTTGTTTCCGCTTATTTTTTTGTATTTTTTTTTTTTTTTGGTATTTTTAGGTTTTTGGTTTCTGTATTTTTGGTTTTGTTTTTTTTTTTTTGTGTGGTTTTTCAGCGCCCTGCACAGTTTGACTCTCTCGTGCGCTGTTCACTCCTGTGTCCTTGGGCCACGCCCTCGAATCCTTGCCTCGTCGTATACGCCGCCGTAGGACGACGACCTACTCCTCGCCGAGGAGCACCAGATCATCGGCGACCACGTCGCTGACATGCAGGTAGATGATCCAGTACATGAGGTTGAAGCAGACGAAGCACACGGGGAAAACGATGCGCGAGTACTTGTCGATGTCGGAGGGCGTGATGCCCAGCAGCTTGTTGATGTCCTGTTTGGTTAGGATCAAGGATCATGGATCAAGGAATAGGGATCAAGGATGGGAAGAAAGGAAAATAGATTAGTAAATATTGCAAAGGGTTTATAAAAGTTTATTTTCAATCGCCGCATCATGTACGATCTTTACCTTTACCTTTTTTACTTTCCCCGGATGCAGGAGATGGGCTGGGACCGCTGCTTCTGGATCGCCTCCGCCCTCGGGCGGTCCGCCCCCGCCGCCACCGCCACCTCCACCGCCTGGCGGTCCGCCGCCCTGACCAGGACCCGGTCCATGCGATTGCGGACCACCGCGTCCGCCATTCACCGTATTCTCCAGCGTTCCACCCTTGGAATGGGCCTTGGGGTCGTGGACCTTGAATCTCACCTCCTGGAACAAGGGTCCCACTATCGAGCAACCGCGCGTACCAACGTTTTGTTGGATATTGGAAAAGCCGATTGGGCGGTTACTCACTGTTTGCTTGGGCGCATGCGGATGCCCATGGCTGTGGGCGTGGTGGCCATGCCCGTGGCCATGTTCCGGTCCCATGCCCATGCCCACGCCCACATTCACCCCGCCACCGCCGGGTCCAACGGGTCCGCCAGGTCCAACGCCCACACCGCCAGGTCCACCCACATTCGCATTGGGATTGGGATTCGCCTGCTGCTGGTTAGCTCCGTCGAGCTGTTGCTTTTTCTGCTCGGCTATCTTTTGGATCGCCATAAATCTTTGTTTTCGCATTTGAATTCGTTTTGCCATGTAGCCGACCGTGGCGTATTCTATTGATTGCGATACGATACGATTTTGATTTTGATTTTGATTTGATTTTGATATTTGATTGTACAGATTGCATATCGAATTTTCATATAGATTTTTGAATTTAGTCGATGGATAGATATAGTTTGATGGACGGTTTGGCATACGGTTTTTTGTTTTTTTTTTTTGGAGGGAGGTGGTTTTAGATTGTTAGAATAGGTTGATATGCGGATGCAGTTCAAGAATTTAGAGTCGTGGTCGGTTGGTTGCCGCATGAAGTTCGGATGATATATATATTTGGTTGTAGTAGTTGTAGTTGTAGTAGTAGTAGTTGTCAGATATATATATATATATATTTGGATATATTGTAGCATTGTATTGGTAATTTGGTGCGGGATTTCGATTTAAAGTCGGATAACAAGGAAAGACAAATAGAAAAATAAAAGAAATTTAATTTTCATGAGCAAATTTTGCAGATCAATTTGAGTTGATTTTTTTTTTGGCACAACGTCTAGAGGAGATGTAGGGGGAGTAAGGAGTAGGGGGTATTTCTTGGGTACTATATATATAGAATATAAGTAACATTTAGAGTCTTTTTGAACGGGGGGATGGGGGGTCGAAAATATTGCAGTGTTTCTGGGTTTTTTTTTTTTGGGTAAGTGAAATCAAAAAATTGAAGGTGAATTTATTTTCGTATCTCCATTTTAGCCAGGCAAAGGAAAATTCGAATAAAGCAAGTCTTGTGTGTGTGAGTGTGTTTGTGTGTGTGTGAGTGAGTTAGCAATATTCTAGAGAGACAGAGAAGGAGACAGAGCAATTGAAGTGTATATGAGTGTGAATGTGTGTGTGTGTGTCTGTGTGAGTGAGTGAGTGAGTGTCCGTGTTTAAGGCTGTTCTTGTTGTTGTTGTTGTTGTTGGTAGTTGTTGTTGTTTTTGTGAAATGAGTGGAAAAAGTCATTTGTAAGCCAAACGATTTATGTACACATTTATTCCTGCAGTTGAGACCATCATTCAAGGAAAATGTTCATGTGCGTGCCTTAAATGCAAATTCATTGAACAGGGTCGCCCGTTATAAAGGACACGAAAATTTCCAGCGTTTAATGTTTTGTTTCGTTATTTTTTTTTTTATTTCAGCTTTGTTCCTTGTTTTTGTTTTTTTTTTTTTTTTTTTTGATTTTAATGTTGTCATTTTATCCTTGGAAATGTTACGGGTTCAGATTTCTGAATTAAGAGGTGTTTTGTAGGGGTGTTGGATTTTACAAAGTTAGAGAGATAGGGGCAGGGGGGGTCTTTGAAATCGCATACTCGCCGATGAGTGGTGGATTGAACGAGAGGGCGGAACAGAAACGAGTAACGAGTAACTAGTAACAAGAGTACTTACCAGGGCCAAAGCAAGGTAACCAATCGCTGCAAATAGCCAATAGAACAAAACAGAAAGCAGACTACGAATCATATCTTACCTAACCTCGGTAGGGTTTACTATTCTGGTGTGATTTATATATATATATTTGTTGACAAATTTGGCAACCTTCATGTCTGGGTCACCCATTTAAATGACCCAAACTTGATGGCTCCAAATTGCAGAGATTTGTATCTTTTAGATACTGTTTTTTTTTAATATTTTTTTTTAAGACGCACTTTCTTTGCTTCTTTTGTAAGTATTTTAAGGCTCTGTGTTGTCTTTTGTAGAATCTTCGGGGGCTGCGTCTTCTGGCTGTTGATCGACGACTTGTTGAACCATATTTACAGTGTTTTGTGTCTGTTCTCATATTTTCGTACTTGTTTTTTTGATTCAATTCAATCGCGAGTCAAGCCAGGTGTGGCGCAGGGCATGCTGGTTTCGTTTGATTTTGATGCGCTCCCTCTTATGATTTTTTGTATATGATCGTTCTACTCGTACCCTGGATTTTTGATTTTGATTTGGATTTTTTTTTTTTTTTTTTTTTTTTTTTGATTTTTGGTGCGTTGTTTTTTATTGTTTGTACATTATATAGATTTTTTCGGTTTGCGATTTTTGCAGCTTGCAGTTTTGCATTTTGGCGGAAGCTGGGCGTATATTGATATCTGGGTACCATTTCAGGTTGAAGTGTGTTCGATTTGCTCGTCTCGTAATGCTCGAACACAAACTCAACCTGAGTCGGCTATATATATATATATATAGATGGGCATATGTACGTGGCTCGTACATATGAGAAGGCTTTTTGAGGATGGTATATTATGGTTTCTTTTTGTCTTATTTTTTGGCTGAAGCATGCTTCGATTCTAGGTGCGAGGTGCAAAACATTTTGGGACTTATGTAGGTGGGACGTTTTTTTTTTTTTTTTTGAGAGGTTTGGTTTAGGGAGGGGAGAGAGTAAATTTTCGTGCCTTTACGCTCGATTCGCAGGCGCGTATCTATGAATTTGCATACATTTTCTTTGGATGATAGTTTTTCTTTGTATTGAAAAATTAACAAGAACATACAAATACGAAAAAAGAGATTTGTTTTCTTTTGGGTTTCTTTGCAGTTTCTTTTTCTTTAGCTTTTTGCTTTTGCTTTTCTTTTCTTGCTGTTGTTGTTGCTGTTTGTTGGAGTTGTTGTTGTAGTAGTTGTGGGTGTAAGTTGTTGCTTGAGAATTGTTTTAGTTGTTAGATAGTTAGAGAGAAAGTTAAAGTTAGCATTACGGCGGGGTCACCACCAAAGCTTGAGATATATGAAAATTTGAATTTTGAAAATTCTATTATTTTATAGGAAGAAGAAGATTTTATAGCGAATTTGATAAACATATATCAAGCTTTTCTGGTTGACAAATCAGGTGTTTGACCCCTTTTACAGTGCCTCTGGTGCAGTGCATTTCAGCATTCCTATGGATAGACTTTCTTTTGATCCTTTGGCTCCATTAGGAAAGTGAAATATTTTTAAATTTAAGTTTAAATAGATATTAAACTACTGTGGATTGGCAAAACTTAGCTGCGTTTTCAAAAGACCAATTGGTATGGGATAAAATTGATGTATTTTTTCAATTAGAAATTTCTCAAGACGCAGTTTGTTTTGCCTAGGAAACTAATGTGTTTTTATATTCTTTAAATGTATCTGCAAGATTGTTTTGCACAACGCTAAGCGTGGCACGGAAAGCTGGCAAAAGTGTAGTTGAAGTAACGAAATAACTAAAAGCTGGCTCACTTCTTGACCTGGCCAGTATTATCTAAAATCAAAAAAAAAAAAAGGTTAAGGAAATCATAAAATTGGAATCCTTATATAGATTCACTGCCTGTGAGTGTGAAGTGTGTGTGGGTGTGTGTGTATATTTGGTGTGAGAGATATATAGATAGATAGAGAGATATATGGGGAATATCGTTTTGCTACTTGGTTTTTGGATTTTCGCTTAATGGGTTTCTGTTTTGTTTGGTATTTTGGGGGGTATTTTTTTGGTAGTTTCGGTAGTTTTGTTTGTTTACCCAGTAGACTGGCAAAGACCATAACGAAGCATGTTCCCAGATAGACGTCAATCGACTTGACGTACGAAATCTTTGGCAGCGCTGCATTTGTTGACGACATCAAAGTGGTCATTGTCAACACGGTTGTCACACCGAGCGCCACACGCGCCGGCGTTGCATTGCGATTGAGCCAAAACGATACCCATGATATAATAACGATCAGTCCAGAGGGTATGTAGATTTGTATAAGGTAGTAGCCCATCGAACGCACGAACTGTATTTCGCAGGCTAAACGCGAATAGTTGCCTGCCCACCGCGTTAATTTTAATTATTATTTTTTTCGATTTTTATTTTAGTTATTAAGTTTTAGATTTTCGTTTTTTTGTTCATTTGTTCAGCGTGTTTTTTTTTTCGTTTTTTGAAAATGGGAGAGAGAAAGAGTAGAGAGAGAGAGGTAAAAAGTATTATTAGTATTTTTAGTTCGCTGAAATGGTATTTTATTTGTAAATATTTACAAACAATATTGGTAAAACAGCTGGCAAGTCATCGATAAATCGATTAATTTTATTTTATTTTTAGTAAAGCAAAATTCGGTGTTTTGCCAGCCGTTTTTAAAAGGTTATTCATCACCAAAAAACCAAATTTAAGAATTAAACTTAAAACTTTAAAAGTAAGTTGAAAAGAATATCCAAGAATAGAATAAATAAATTAAGTATGAGCGCATTTTTATGTGAAATTATGATTGGCTGGCACCTTCCTGGAAATATTGTTAGTTTCGATCTAAACGACGCGTCATTATCAGGCAGGCAATACTTCATTAAACATATATATTAATTACTTAGATAAGGTCTAAAAACGTAATGGCAAAAGGTCAAGTCAAAGCTAAGGTCAAGAACTAAACTTTAAAAAAATATTCTAGGCATTCCACACACATATCCTTGCAGAAGGTTCACAAATGTAATTTTTGATAAATTCAATTTTATATTTTAAGATATTTTATAAGACTTTTCTGCAAGGATTGTTTTTAAAAAATAAATTCAGGATCTTAGATTGGTTAGTCAGAAATACTTTAGGAATAGAAGTGGCTTGCATTAGAGTAAATAAAACTGACTGCAAATCTCAAGAAAATAGTTAAATAAATTAAATAAGAAATATAGGCAGCTAGTCTAAGACCTAATTAGGAGCATTTTGAATTGCCTGCAATTTGTGGCTATTTTTTTGTCTAAAGTTTATAATTATTTTTTAAGGATTTTGTAAAAGAAACTTTATAAGATGAGAGCATGCTTGGGAGGGCGTTTTGTATTTTCGATATATATATATTTCTTTGGATATTTCAAAACTTGTTTATATATAAATATATATATATATTTGGTATGTATAAATGGTTTTTGAACTTTTCATTGTCTCTCTTTTGGTTAATTTTGCAAATGCTTAGTTTTTTTTTTTTTTTGCGTATGGGAATTGATTGGAATTTTAATTAATGTTGCATAACTTTTTTGTTGTTGTTGTTGTTCGATTTTGGATTTTAATAATATTAATGCATTTTGTAGTTGTAGTCGTTGTTGTTGTTGTTGTTGTTGCTGTTGCTGTTGATTTACAATACAGAATGTTTCGGTGTTGTTGTTGTTTGATTATGCTAATGAGTTTCGATAGCTGGTAATTACTGTTAAATACGTTTTGTAGATAGCTGTTGTTGTTGTTGTAGTTGGTAGTAAAAACTAATTTGAGTGACTAGTTAATAAAATTATGTGTTTAGCATGTGTGAGTGTGATAGTATGAGAGTGGCAGCTTAAAAAATTGGTTGATTATGTTGTAATAATGTCAGGCATAAATCAAAAGCATGATTTACTAAGGAAAAGCCATATTCAGTTAAGCTTTGCTATATCGATTACTTAATACTCTTGATATGTTTTTTTTTTTTAGCATAAGATTATTTTCACTTTGCTTAAATGGTTTTATAGTACAAAGGTCGCTAGGTGATTTCTTTTTCAATCTCATATTGATTTCTCTTTTATTTTGATTTGTGATTTTGTACGATTTTTTGTTGTTCATATTTTGTTGGCATTGCCAATGATAAAAATTGGGTTTTGTTTTGCTATTTTTTATTATTATTTTTACTTTTAGTTTCTGTTCTTGTCGCTTGGTTCGCTGTAAAGTATGAACTTATGAGCGTTGAAAATCAAGGCGGAATCAACTCAGACTTCGAAAATAATAGTAAGCAGAAAGGAAAATCATTTGATGAACGAACTAAATCGGAAAATTGTTGCTAGCTTGTAACATGCGTTGATTTTGCGTTTAAAGATATATAATATATATGTATATATATATATATATGAACAGTATCCGGTAGGTATTCGAGTACGAGTAAAAGTGGGAAAACGATCTCTTATTATCAGGCTGTCTAGACGCTAGACTATATGAAGTGGGCTAATGTTGAATGCACTTGTTAATATTAATTGTTAATTTTAATTGTTAACTTTATTGCTTGGTTTTTGGTTTTTTTGGTATGCTATGGATTAGATTAGTTGATGAAACAAACGCTAGCTAAATGTAAAATAAATTAGGTAAAAAATCTTAAGATGCTTAACATGCATTTTCTCGCGTTCGCAGAACCATCCTGCTTGAAGCACTGGCTCTTTGATTGACTCAATCATTGGGTGCTTGAAGCAGGTTTCTAACCGATAGTTAGCCCAAAGCTATTTTGGCAAGCCTTTTTTTTTTTTTAATGTTTTTTTTTTATTTTTTAATTTAGAGAACTTTGTACAAAATGCTGCTTGAAAATTATTTCGAATTGAGAAAAGGAAAAAAAAGGGGAAAAGGAAAATTAATCAAACGAAAAAGCCTTCAGAATTAGAATTGAATTGAAAACGCAAAATGAAAACGATATATATATAGTAGATATATATAGATAAGTCATCATCGGTATTATCGTAAATATATATATATATATTAAATATATTGGTAAAAGTAAAGTTTGAAAGAAAATCGGTAACCGTCTACAGGTACCTGTGGTAAGACTGATTTCCATAGCTCTTTGGCGATGACCCAAGACCTTAAATTGGGGCAGCGAAACCTCACTCGAGACACCGACCGAGTTGGGGCCTTCGTTCCATTTATATCGGATGTCACGCATCGTGTAGCCGACTATATATATATATATATATCGTGTATATAGTTGGTTGTAGTTATTGTTGTTGTTTGTTGTTGTTGTTGTTGTTGTTGTAGTTGTTGTTGTTATGTTAGCAAGTTGCATTTTGTACAGTTTGGTGTTTGGTTTTTGGTTTTTTTGGGGTTTATTTTTTTTTGGGTTTAGTTAGGCGAGTTTATATTACAGTTGTTGTTGTTGTAGTAGTAGTTGTTGTTGTTGTTGTTGTTGGCACAGTTCGGTGGTGAGGTTGTCGTTGTTGTAGACGAAAAATATGCATAAAACAAAAAATACATTTCGTGAGACTATTAATAAGTTCTATTCTATCATCGAAAATTTCATAAACAATTCAAATACAATTCATTCTCAGTGTGTTGTTATTTTTTTTCATTTTCATTTTTGTTTTTTTCTTTTTCTTTCTGTTGTTTTTGTTTTTAACATTTTGGATTTGTTTTTGGCATTAATAGTCTCATTCAGAACTTGTCGCTTTAAGTGTTGTTCAAAAATATATTTTTTGATTTATCCCATCGAGAGGAAACTCTAAGAATATTAATAATATTTGTTCGTATTTTACAATTGCGCTAAAGAAATGCATAATATTTTTGTTAGGTTTTTCCATTGGCAAAGCGTAACTAGGATAAAGATTGAGGAGCTTTCAGTAGGCCAGCTCTGTTTGGTTGACTTACAGCTACTGTTTGTTCTTATTGGCAGTAGTAGGGTTGCTTAAAAACTAGTAAAAACTTAATATATTAGCATAACTAATTATTTTTTTTTTTTTTTGGGTGTCAGAAATGGGTGCTCTTGTGTCTTCTGTTTAAGGCTTTTACATATTTCTTTTCTTTAGGCCTTTACTTAAGTAGTTGTTTCTTAGTTGTTCTTATTTTTTTTTTATTAGTTGCTTTTGCCTACCCAAGCAAACGAAACTGGACTCTCTTGCGACTCGAAATGAACCGAAAATTGAAAAGGAAACGGAAACGGAAATGTTAGAACCATAAATCATAATCGCTGGGCCTAGCTATAACGCTCACTACTTTCGCTAACTGCTGCTTTACTGATCGGTTAATCAAAAGTAAAACCAAAATGATAAGCATAAAACATAAGGAGATTAGAGAATAATTAACAAATCAACGAGTAGTCACAACAGAGGTTAGTAGAGGACACTTCAAACACAATATATATATATATATAAGTTTATATGTGGTTTAGATGGGGCGGGGGGGAGTTTGGTTCGATTGTTTCTGGTTAGTAGCACAAGTTACGGTTAGCACTCGATAAAAAGAGAGAGATATATAGAGGTTGATATATATATTTTGGTGAAGGAATAGTAGTAGTAGTAGTAGAAGTATTAGACGGAAAAGAAACACAAAAAGAGGTTAGAGGTGCGTGTTTCGGTACTCTTGGATATGCGCTAACCCTTTTTCGAGAAACACAAAATCAAAATACGAGATTACGAAAATCCATTACGACAAACGCAAAACGTTTAAAAGTTCATTGAAAAATGTTTGTCAAAAACGAAAGGAAATGGTATTGTGATTATATTGATGTTATTTTATATATATATATTTTTTTTTTCATATATATTTTATATATATATATAATTTTTTTTTTGATTTTTTTTTTTTATGATTTTTTTTAATGTATGGGGGTACCTGTGGTTAGGTTTATTTCGGTCGCCCTCTGCCTGTGTCCCAAAACTCGGAACTGCGGTAGTTCGACCTCACTGCTCATGCCAACACTACTCAGTCCATCTCTCCAGAAATATCGGATATCTCGCATCGTGTAACCGACTGCATCATGTCGAAGAGCATTGTTGTTGGTTATGGTTGTTGTTGTTGTTGTTGTTGAATAGTAGTAGTTGTTGTTGTTGTTGCAAAAAGGGGGTTCAGTAGTTAATTAATTGATGTTATTTGTTTGTTTGTTCTGTTTTTATTTTGGGTGTTGGTTTGGTTTGGTTTGGTTTTGTTTTTTCTGTTTTTCTGGGACTTATACACAGAATACTTAACTCACACACTCGATGTTGGTTTGGAATATAAAGATAAGATCTTATAAATAGGGTGAGTGAGTGTGAGTGTTTGGGCATTTCTTGGGACCGATTTCTGTGGTGAGTTTTGACAAAGAAATTTGTAGACGTAAATGATATGTACAATATTTATAGATCTTAAGCAAAAGCGTGCTGTGTTTTTTGGTTTTTCGACTTACAGTAGTTATGTGGTAGTAGTAGTAAACTTAAGACTTAGACTAACAAGGGACTTTGTGACTGGGCTTAGTTCGAGTTAAAAGACAGAGGAGTTTATGGTCTTACAAGGATCATTGGGTTAGAGGAGCCTTCTGCGGTTGCTGAAATTGAGAAGGCGACCGAAAACCAACCAATCTTCTGCATGATTTCAGCGCCATGATATTGTGAACTGTTGATAGTGATATTTAAATATATAAAAGTTACTAAAAACTGGTTGATAGCTGTTGGGGTTTTTTCAAAAACATTCGGGTAGATGCAGATAATAATGCACATGAACTGAGTTTACCATGTGACACTTTGAACTTTTATTTTATTTTTTGTTTTTTTCGGGGGGGTGTTGGTCAAAAAACAAATATAATAACTTTGAAGTGATTTGGGGGAGTTAAAGGGGGGGGACTTGAACTATTTTGAGTACAGATTGAATGAGTGAGAGGGTTGGGTTGGGACAATTTTGATTTAACAAAATATTCACAAAAGGAACTCAAAACAGATATTCGAAATAAAAATGAAATCTATTGAGAGCTAAGATTGAAAATAAATTCCTCGCCGCCTAAACTCTCTGTCTAAAGACAATTTAATTGACGTAAAAATTCAATTCGATTTCCTGCTATTTGTGGCAACATAATTGCTCTGTTCACAATTGTTCATATCAAAGGCGACTTAATTGCTTTTTCCTCAATCGAATGTCTGTTTCGGGTGTCTATATGAATGTATCTGTATCTGTATCTGTATCTGTATCTATGGTTGTGTGTATTTTGTATCTGTGGCACTTAAAATTTACTTGCTTGCATTTTAATTGTTTCGGTTTGGTTTGGTTTGGTTTCTTTCACATAAGCTTGTTTTCAATTTTCTGCCCACACCGAACAAACAGCGCACGGCCTTTGCTTGAGAATTGGAGCTCGGCATATTGGAGTGGCCAGAACACGAGTGCCGAGTGGCCAATGTTGGCCAAAAAACAGGTGCAGGCTACAAAAATAACATGGCAAATTGCAAAGCTCTTGACAACACTCGATAATTGCTCAATTGTCTTGGCCAAAGAACACACACACTCTGCATTTTGGCCACTCCGTCCTGCCGACATTCTGAATGAGTTGGTTTTCTTGTATTTCACACATTTTTTTTTTTTCTTGATCATTCTTAACAATGCTTGATTGACAATTTTCACAATTTCATAATCATCATCATTAGTTTATCATATTAACTTGGCTAAATTGTTGTAGTGATAAGTTAGATCAATGTACTTACAGCTTTCGATTTCGATATGGCACAGCTGGCGATCCATAGGGAAATATTGAAGATTCATCGGACACGATGCGGTAATAGTCAATCTAAATGGGTTAATACAGATGTTGGTTGGAGGAAGGTTTCGGGGGGAAAGAGAGATTATTCGATTAGTAGCGAATGGCAAGGGTGACCAGCAGGTGAACATCAACAAACAAACGAGCAGAGAGGGTTCATAAAAAAGTTACAATCTAAATACACAACATTTACGAGGTTTGTTAAGAAGGGTTTCTTGGGGTGTTATCAAGTCATTACATACAGAGCGAGTTCAATTGGATATGAGCTATTTTGTAATATATAATATAAATATATATATATATTTTTGCTGCTGTTTTTTTTTATTTTGATATTTTTTGGTAAGTGAGAGATACTTTTGAGTGGCAGTTTAGTTTGTAGATTGTGAGGCGATTGGCTCTTACGCAGGGTTAAACATTACGTATTTGTTTTGGCTTACTTTAGTTAGTCGTTGGTTTAAGTTGTTGCTTACAGCTACGAAAACTAAACGCTACTCAATATACTTATTTGGTGGCTTAGTTGTTGCTTAGTCATTGGGTGGCTGCCGGGGGGGTTTTTGGTGGCGATTTTGGACAGATTCTTGTTTAAAGGTAGTAGAAAAATGAAAGCCCAGTAGCCGCGAGCTACTGCGGCCAGTCAAACCTTTTTGCGGTGTCAAAAACACGTGAGACAGAAGCGTGGTACCTTCGATAGACATGCAATCCCTGGTGGTCGGGTTTCCCTTTTTCTTTTTTTTAAGGATCTTGATTCTTGATCTTGATTCTTGTGGTTGTTGTGAGAGGGGGGGAGGTAAAATGCGTTTTGTATCTTTCATGAGCCACACAATTGGGGATGTCGAAGTGATGGATAGTATACATAGTTCCATCCTATCGATGTTATGAAATGATTTTTATGTTTTCAATAGCCAATGTTTGTACCATCATCATCATCATTCAAAATCAAACTTAAAATGGATTTTTGCAGCTAATAGAACGATACAATCGATAGCACCGATAGTATAATCGCACAGTTTGCACCTCTAACCGATGACTCTCATGAAATGTACAAATCATTTGAAGCTGCATCGCTCGAAAATTGCCAACTTTCTTTCACTTTCACTTGCCAATTGAACTCACTTGATTAGTTTTGATCGCATTGGAAGAAAACTGTTTTTCGTTCTGTAGAAATTTTCCATTTTCATTTCGATTTAGTTAAAATTACAACATCGATTTATACACACACAGAAAAAAAATTTAGTTGCAAAAAGGGCCAAAAAAAAAAAACGATAATTTTTAACGAGTAGAGTAGAAATGTTTGAAGTATATATTATTTTTTTTTTTTTTTTTGGGTTAGTTTTTGTATTGGTTGTAGGGTTAGTTTTGTAAAATAGTTAAATACACATACACATATACAGACAATTAAAAAAATGTTAATGTTTCGCTTTCAATTAAGAGAGAGAGCGTTGAGTTTTTTGGGAGAGTTGCAGTAGTTGAGTTGGTTTTTACCTAATACTTCTTGTTATCGATCCAGAATGATGCACACGTATGAATTCATTACTGGTTGTTGCAATGTGAAAATATGATTGTTTTTCATTTACAAAAAAGGTGTCAGGTACCCAAATATTCTTTATGAACTCTGATCCAACCGATAGTGTTTCTACACCAGGTCGTTTTCTATACGCTAAACGAGGATCGGTCCAAAATTGACGAAAGTAAAAATCCAATGTGAAGTCCTATTCAATTCACAATTTGATTCAAATCGATTGATTTTTCGGTAAGTAGAAGGGGGATTAAAAGGTAGCAAAAAGAGATTGAGAGATTATTCATATATTAGTAAACATTGGCAGTGAGAACTTACATAGCTAGTTAAAAAAGAAAAAAACTAAACTAGTAACTAAAAGTTTTGTGTGTTCAACAAATTCATTTTTGATAAAACTAAAAAAAATTCATAGAGAAATCGAATAGAGAGAGAGAATTTGTGAAAACTAGAAAGAAAGATTTTTCAAATTTTTTTTGTATTTTTTTTTTTGGACACAACAGATACACTTAACAAAGACATACAAAGTAAGGGAACTTGCGGCAAATGGAAAACAAGGAAAATTCATAACGTGCAACAATTTCAATTTTCATCAATTTATACAGAAAGTTGGGGGGCGGGGACGTTGGATATCTCCAGACAAACATGCAAAAACATCGAATTGAAACTTTTTTACAGCGTTTTTCGGAGGTTCTCAATGAGAGAAAACTGAACAAAATCAAATAACTTAAGTAAATAATATTACTAAGCTTATTTACATTAGCAGAAGAAGAAGAAGAAGAAGGGGGGGGGTCGGGTAAGCATATAAGAGTAGTACAGAAACCTCTCACAAATATTCGTATGGATTCGTTGCTGTGATTGTGAAGTAGCTTGGCTTTTGGTTATAGTTTTTGTTTTTTCTATTTTATTTTTTTCTGGCTACTAAAACTGGGCTTGCTGGGTTTTTAGATATTACTAGACTACTATGGCATCTATGGCAACAGGCTGGCAAAAGGTTGTTATTTGTACGCTTTAGATATATACAGTATACGGTATCGTTGGCTTGGCTCTTTTGTTTTCAGCTGTTCTTGTTCTGCTTTTTGTGCCTCGAAGCTAAGCGGGCTAGAATCGGAGTCGATTGGGGGTTTGGTTTGGTTTGGCTTGGATTGGATTGGATTGGATTGGATTGTAAAACGACAAACAATTTGGCTGTGTTTGCTCTGTTTCTGTATCTGTGTGTTTGTATCTGTGGGTGGGTGTGTGATGGCTGTGTATTGTTTTTTGAGGGGTGTTGGGCTGAGGGAGCTGAGGGCGGATAAGGACAACTACTCGAGTTGTTTCTCTCAGTCTTGCATATCATTATCTTCAAGCGCGTCACGTGGCCGACAAGGAACCAAAAATTAAACGGAAAACCATGTAAATGTAAATGTAAATGTTAAAGGTAAATGCAAATGCAAATGTAATAATAATAGTAGTTGTTGTTGTTGTTGTTGTAGTAGTAGCAGGTAATAACATTTGTAAGTAGTTATAAATATTTATAGGGGCGCGCACACTGCTTGCTTTTTGGGTACTTTGCCAGTACTTTAACGCACGCTGAGTGGTTTGGGTGTGCTAGCTGTTATGTGTCTACATGGCGTATACGTATTTTCTATATCTTTATGTCTTTTATTTATGATGCGAAAATTGCACACGATTCTCGTGGGTTGCCTGCAATCTTCTCTCCTGGCCTTATTACTAGCAGATTTGGTTTCCACTCGGTTTTACTTTTTTCTTATTTTTTGGCACGGCCAAACAACAAAAACTCAAACACAAATTGAACTTAAAACGGGGCGGAATCACAAAGAACTCAAGCTCGTAATCAAAAAAAAAAGGGAAATAAAATTTTGTGTGGATTATGCAATTTCCATAACTCTGTTTTTCGGGTTTCGACAGGGGTTTTGGCTTGGCAAAAAAGGGGTTCTCCGGTCGCGGGGAGGGGGGTCAACCTGGTTTTTGGTATTTTTATATTCTTAGCACACATACACACTCAAAAAATCAACTCTAAATACGAATACAGATGTATGTAAGGGGCATGGCGGTATTTATAGATGGTTCTCGCAATTAACCCCAAACGTGAACGGGTCTATCGAGTTGTTTGTTTTATTTTTATCTATATATAATATATATCTCTTTATGGTATACCATTTACAATTTACATATGTATATAGGCATGTGTATGTGTGTTTGTGTATATTGACTCCTTGTTACAAGGTTTTTATTTATTTCGCTGGTTTTTTGGTTGTAACCTCATGTCATGTTGATTTTAACTGCCTGGCTGCTCGCCTGAGTTTGGGTTCGGGTTGTCTTATGTAAATTTGTCACAGTTTGTACAGAGAAAGAAATGGGGGATGGGGCGTTGAAAGAAGATTAAGTTAAGAGAGGGATATGGCTTTAAAGTTGATTTTCAAGGGTCAAGAATGATAAGTCATACCAAAGACTTCTTTAATCATTTCCCACTATTAATGTTTCTCTCAGTGTACCTGCATGAGTATCTGAGTTATTGTGTCTATGTGTGTGTACGCGTGTTGTTGTTCTTGTTTCGGTTTGGCATTGGCTCAGTTTATTTTTGAATTATTTTCATTAGCAGCGTAGGAATATTGTTATGTTACCGGGTCGCAAAATGTGCAAATGAAAAGTTGTCATGTAAGAAATGATCGGGCTGAAAGTGAACATGTTGTTGTTGTTGTTGTTGTTGCTGTTAGTGTTGCTTTTGCTTTTGCTATTGCTGTTATCCTTGTTTAACGTGTTTTCTTTGCTAGATTGTTTACGGCCGTATGTTCGTGTGTTTACGTTCGTGTTGGGCATGTTATTTTCGCATAAATTGATTGCCAAAGCCAAAACGGTGCGATTGTGTTGGTTGTGTGTGTGTGTTGTGTCATACGAACATTTCCTTAAGGTAAAAACAGTGAACAGTTGTCTGTGTATGCAGCAAAAGTGCATTAAAAATCTGTGTGTTTGTGTTTGATAACTTCCTATTAAGTGCAGTTTATGCAACTTTCTTTTTTTTCAAAAACTTGAAGGATTTTCGTGTGCGCCAATTTAGGTGATTATCTTCCATCTGTCAGATGCTCTCTTTTTGACACACTCAATGATTTAAGATTTCCATGAAAGTCGGACGATAAAGAAGTTTATTAATCGAGAAGAGATGGCAAAGATTAAATCAAATAAATGAGTTTCCTGAGGCCTTTTTATGTTAATCTAACCCCGAGGCTTGAAGTTTATTAAATCAAATTTCGAAAAGCTCTTTGGAAAATAAGTAATTAAATCACTCAACCAATAAGAACGTGCGACGTACACAAAGAGAATAATTTTAACAATAATATTTTAGTAGAAATAATTAAAAAAATCCAATATTATTTAATAGGAGAAGTTTTAGAATTAAAATCATTATTAATATTAAAGGCTTTCTGATTTTGTTCGCGAAAAGTTTGAAATGAAGATGAAACGAAAACACAGAAACAGGCAGTAAAAATGAGTAGTAGTTAGTCCCTTGTAGAAAAGTAGGCTAAGTCCATATATATATATCGTTTGACGAACACATCGACACCGAGCTTGATTATATATATGCTATATTATATGCTGTGTGGATTATGATATTCATTCATATTCATCTTTTTAACAAATACGCATGCGCGCAGCCTCTGTCAATGCGGCCGCTGTGATTAATTAATTTGATTTTTGTTAAAATTATTATTATTTTGCATTTGACCAGATCACACAACAAATAGAATGAGATTATATAGTATTATATGGTGGCTATATATTTTTTTTTTTGTATATGAATATGGCATAAATATCTCTCGTTTCTCTGGGTTTTAAGGGAAAGGTCCACTTCCCCCATCATAGTGTCAGTGTGTATGGTGGGGATGATGGAATTGGATGAACTTTGGCCATGTACTCAATGGGGTCGATAAATAAAGATTTATATAGCAATTAGATTGATTGACTTTATCGCAGTTACTGCTTTCCATGAAAAAGAAAAAATATTCCGAAATTGAGGGATGCGATGGCAAAAAAAAAAGAACGCAAAAGGCAACAAACTGAAAGCTGAACAAATGGTAATGGCATTTCAAAGCGTCAAAGTTGAGAAATACAGTTACAGAGAGAGAGAGATAGAGAGAGTGATAGCTAGAGTGTGGGCGAAAGAGAGAGCAGCAGTTGGTCTGGGCTCAAAAAGTAGCATCAAAATGTGTATAAATTTTTCAGAGTAATTTTCAATGTAAGTACGTTTGTTTGTTTGTTTTTATTTTTTTTGGGGTTTGCATTGTTCTGGCCGAAGAAGCTTTGAAATGGAACAACAAACAACATTGCGAAACATCATATTATGGCCTAAATGGGTTAACATTGAAACAATAAACACAAAACGAATATGCAACATTGGAATTTCATAGTTGGCAATTGCATTGCAATAACGATTCGTTTCACACAACATTTAATTGGCAGAACTTTGTATATTTATATTTGTATATATATATAGATATTTTGGTTTTTTTTCTTATTTTGCAATTGTCTTTGATTGGGCGAAAAGAAAGGCAATCTTAAGTGAATCAAAGTAATCGAAATAAATTTGTATGTCTGTTGCCAATTAGCGAAATTAAAAGGATAACAAATGCTAAGACACAAAATGAGCTTTAAGCAACAGAGACAGAGACATAGATTGAGAGGGAGAGCGATAAACATATAGTAAAAGAGACAGAGATATTTATAGAGACAGAGATATAGAGAGAGAGAGAGCGAGAGATAGTTACAGGTAAGAGGATAGAGACTGAGAGAAATTAAGAAGTATACGAGTAGATTTATGAATTTTTTTTGTTTGCTTTTACCAAAAAAAAAAAAATAGTAACATTTGTTTTGTTTTTTGTGGAAAATTGTATTGTTTTGTTTTATATTTTTTTTATTTTTTTTGGCATATATTTTTTTACGTATGTACCATGAGAACTTCCGAAACCGAACTGATACTGAGGACATACATTGTGACGCCAACCTCCACAGGGGGACCTGCAACATATACACACACACGGATTGATGGAATTTTCATTTTGCGTTTTGGTATGGTTATACTGTAGTTGTTGTTGTTGTTGTTGTAGTTCTTGTTTTTAAGTTGTTGTTGTTCATGTTAGATGTGGCTAAAACCCAAAATATGAGAACTGAAACACACACACAGCGGTACAATGGACGCAGTACGTTGACATATTTTTTTTCTCATTTTTTTTTCGCTGCCTACTTTTGTGCGCCTCTCCTTGGGCTCGTCTTTTTTTGGGTGCTGGTTTAATTTCCATTAGCAAAATTAAATATATAAGAGGTACGGTTAACACTTAAATTGGCAAGCGATGTGCATTGCTTTGCTGTTGTATTTTTTGTCTGTCTATTTGTTTGTTTTGGTGGCTAACTAAATTTGTGTTTGATGTTTTTGCTGCTCTGTTCATTGCACGCGCCGAATGAAAACCAAATCAGTTGACTACTCGAGGTACACATTAATGTATTGTATATATTTATACGGTATGTACTTCTTTTTTAGCTATACGAAAAAGAGTAGTTGCAGTAGCTCAACGAATCAGAAAAAAAAAAATACATAGGATTTGAATAACAAATGCGCCTAGTAAATAAATATTTATTTAAACTATTGGATTATTTGGTTTTGGAATAGGATAGCGGATTCACACACCATTTTCGTTTTTTTTTTCGTTTGCATTGCTTATTTGGAAAGAGATTTTGGTTTATTTTTTTTGATTTTTTTTTGGTTTATTTTGTGGGTATTTGCGATTTGGCAGCAGTTAGATTATGAAAGTAATCTTGAAGCTTGATATGAGTTAAGTGGGCCTACAAAAAAGTAGAAGACAAAACAATACGCATGAAGTGAGAGGCAAGAGTTTGGATTTTTGCTTGGTATGTGTGAGAGAGAGGGGGGGGTTTTCGAGATCCGAAAGGGTTGAAATGTTGATGGATTGTTTCTTATTGTGGCTGTTTATTGGTTGTATATATATGTATGTGTTTGTGTGGTTTATTTTCTTTACGTTATTTTCTGGGTAATTTCGATGTGCTTGGCCAATTAGACATACACAAACACACACAGAGGTAAAAAAAAGAAGAAGTAACGGTGAGCAGAGAAGGAAGTCATTTTGTAGAGCTTAAGGAACATAAAAAGCTTTTGCCAATCGTTGATTTTGATGGATTCGAGAGTTGACATTTAGTTTACAATGTATTTGACGATGTGTGAGAAAAATATCGTGGCAAGCCCTAAACATTTCTGAAACTGACTTCTGGGTTTTTTTCGTATGGCTCGTCAGCTCCTAACACAGACCTTGGCTAAAAGTATTCATTTCAGGAAATGAATGCGAAATTGTTGGAACAACAAAAAAGAAGAACACTAAAACACAGCGGCTATAAAACGAACTAAACATTCGGAAGAGTTAGAGTTTTATTTGAGAGATTTAGTACCAAAAAAGGGTAACTGATAAGGAAATCATAGCATACATAAAGAGAGAAGGAAACACAATAGGTACGGGTGTGAGTAAGATTCGCAAATAACGCTTTCAACTGGTGTACTTTGGTCAACGGTTAGAAATAATTAGATCGTTCTATCTATATAAAACAGGAGTGTGTTCGTAGAGAGAGAGATGATACTGATACAGTAGTTCATACAAAGCAAAACAGTTGAAACATTTTTTTTTAAGTACCATGAAAATCAGGAAATCAAGACTGGTGTGTGTGTGTGAGAGTGTGAGAGAGAGCAACAAACTAATGCGTTTAAGTGGTAGAGTAAATCAAAATGAAAAACTCGAAAGAAAACTCCAACAACAAAGACCAAAGACAGAGAGATAGAGTTAGGAGTTAGATAGATAAGTTAAGATTAAGATTGCGAGAGAGAGCGCTTAACGATAATAGAAAGGTACAAAGTTCAATTAGTTTGTACCATTTTCACTTCTGAGAGCGAGCTGATCGATAGCACATACATGGTGACTCCGACTTCGACAGGAGGTCCTGCAAACACGTATGTTATAGTAGGTGTTACATAGCTAATTACGTTTACGATTAGGTATAAAAGGGTTAGAGTCTAGTGTTAAATAATTCTCGGATCTCATATCCCAGATCCTACTGCGCCTCAACCTTATATATATATATTGTATACCGGGCTGTGCCCCCATTTGCGTTTCGTTCAAGTCGCGTTACGTTTTGGGTTTGATTTTTTCTCTTTTTTTTTCTTTTAGCTGGGTAAGTGTAGCTAGATAGATGGGGTGTCCGGATATTGGTCTACTTACCACCATAATTGGGTCTTACTCTTTTGTCGTAACTAACACTAAAGGAGTCGAGTATAGCGGATATGTTTACGTCACCCAGCATGCTGCCACCGCCAGTTCTGCAAAAAGAAGTCAAGGATTCAGTTTATTAGTTTGATTTCAGGGTATAAAAAAAAGTTTTGCAAGAATATAGTACGTGGTGGAAAGTTTTTTGCAATGAAATAAAGTTCAACTTTGTCGGGCTTGTTAAGTTTTTTGATTTCAAAGTTTTACTTAATCAGAATCAAAAGAAATTGTTTCAATTTTAGATTGTATTTTTTTTCTTTTTGAGACATTTAACAAAGTTATTGATATTCTAGGTATCACTGAAATGAGGGCGAGTGCCTATTCGTTCGAGGGGCATTTGTTGCTGTGCATCATTTCCATATGGGACGTTTCATCGTTTCCTGGAAAAGCGACTGACAGTCGACACAGACATTGCGCTCGGCGGTCGTTGCAGGTTAAGTGTTCATGTGGCACTCTGTGTGGGTGTGCCACTTTCGCTTTATGCGGCATCAAGTGCGCCCCCACAACACGAGCGTTTGTATGTAATATTTATTGCATGTGCCTGGCAATGAAGGCACAAACATACGCCAGTTGCCAGTTTGCCAGTCGCCTAGGCACTTCAATGCCTGTTTATTTGCGTCTATTCTACGCTAAACTGTGCTATTAAAGCGCGTTTGTTGTTATTCCAACTCTGCGAAAGCCATTGGATACACAGCTCTCGGGTCTCTGGTCTCTGGTCTCCGGTCTCAGGACTTGGAACTCAGGTCTCAGGATCCAGGGTTTCCCCCCAGAGCAATGTGTGTGTGTGTTCTTGCTGGTGAGCAAAATCACAATTTAATAAAAGTTGCGCCTGCAAATAAACAGAAAAGCGACTTTTGTCTCTCGATGTGCGCCTGCGCGTTATCCGTAGCTCAGTGTCTCTTTTTGGATTTCATATATCCTGTTTGCCTTTCATTCGTATCGGGATAATATTGTATATATATTTATGTATGTCTAAGTATTTTGCTCAATTTGCACATTGGCAAGTCAATTGTTGTGGCTGATTTGCTGATTTGATGGGATTTTAATTTTGCAGCTCACAAAAGTCGGCTATAATTTTTGTAATCAAGCCTGGGCGTGTGCCGTGGTGGCCCACATTCTCTCGCCGCTCGCCGCTCGCCACTCTCCCTTCCTCTTACTCTCGCCACTGTTCCCTGATTTCCTCTCTGGCTTCGCTTGAGCTTTAACCCAAGTCAATGGCGGGCCATTGTGTATACGCAGCGTGGGCATCAAAGCGAAAGCCGACGGCAAAAATGGCAGCCTATTTATAAATATGTATGAAAATACCAGCGCCCGCACTGCCTCGTACTTCTCATTCTGTGCGGTTTTATATTTTGGGCCTCTTGTCTGATGTTGATAATGAAAAAGTTTTGATTGCTATTTGATTTGAGTTTTTGATTGGGTTTGTATGTGTGTGTGTGTGTGTGTTTGTGGGTTTTAGGTTTGCCAGTACAATGCTGCGTATGCGCAATGTTCATTGTTAAGGGTTAAGAGGTTTCGGGTTACGGGCTATGGGCTACGGTTAGGGGCTTCCAACACTTTCCGCCTCTCTCCGCGCTAGCCATTAAAGTTTAATTTATGCACTGCTGCTACTTTTGCTGGCAGGTGCTGTCAATAAGTTTTTGACAGCCTGCAATAAAAATTACTTGAAGGACGCGCCAAAAACTTTCCGATTGCTCCGCTTATGCCGCTCCCAAGGCGGAACGTGGCGTATACGTAATATGCAAATGTGCTCCTGCCACGGCTAAGTGAAACTAATATTATGCCCGACGTATTGTCAAATAATTTATGCAGCCCCAGTTGCTATATAGATGTGTTAGTGTGTATATGTGTGTGTGTGTGGCATGCTTGTCGTTAAGTGCACTAGAAAATGTCAATAGGTCGTACTTGAGGCGTCAAATATTTGCCTATTGATCGAGGGCAACTAAAGAGCACAAAAATACGAGAAGAACGCCGTCTCGAGTTGCCAGAAGTGCTGCCGTACGTTCGACTACACAGGAAGATAAACTAGTAAACTCAAAGCTCTAAAATCCCTAAAAAAACTTATGGCTTTCCTTTTGTTAGGAACTTTTATAGTTTTTTTGGAACTTTCTCTAATAAAAGTCAATAGGAGTTCTTAAATATTCATGCTAGAAAAATTACCCAATTGCCGATGCATTTTCCCTGTGTAAGTGCACATTTGTTCGGCTTGCAATTAGCTGCCTGCACGTAAGTGGGTAACAATTTGAGTTTTTCCATCCAGCTCTCAGGATGGCAGAGTGACTTGGGTAACGAAAACAGCAATAAAGGAGCAACAACTGCGGGAAGCAGATGGGCCAGTTGGGCAGGGGAACAGGACCAAAAACCAGAACCAAAACCGTAACTGTAACAAAACCAAAATGCAAAGTCATGCGCACGACAGCCAAGCCCAAAACGTGTCGCCTCAAGTGCCACGCCATCTTATCGCTGGCCACAGTTTGTTGCCTTATCTTGAGGCACTGCACGTTTGCCATATATATATATATATATATATATATATATATGAAGGTATATATGTATATATATATATCTCTCTATATATGTATGTGTATGTGGGTGGGTGTGGCTGGTCAGTGTGAAAGTGTGTGTGAGGAAAGCTGTGGGAAATATTGTCGTTATTGTTTGTTGTCGTTCTCGCTGTCGCTGTCGTTTTTAGTGGCACTTTGAGTGCCAGCCATTACGTATACGCTGCGTTGGACACGCGCCATTGCATAAATTCAAGTGAAACGTTAAAACAAAGCGGAAATGCGAAAACTACTAGCAAATATTATCTTTCTTTTAGCGTTTTCGTAGTCTTTGTCTTCATCTCCGCGCTGTCTCCGTTCTTGCCCATCTCCATCTCTCTTACATTTTCCATTTCCCTATTCTCCATCCAGGACTTTTTCCTCCTGACAGCTGCTGGGACTGAGGCAAACGCCTACGCCGAGATAAGCAAAAGTTGGTTTAGGCCTTTCTGCTGCGCAGTAAAGTACTCGGGCAAATGGGCTATGGGTCGCCCCAGTCTCCAGCCTCCAGATTCACAGCCTCCACTTTTTCTTTCCTTTGGGCCGAGTGTGAGTAAGCGTTTTTTAATAAAGTGATAACTTGATGCCTGACAGCCGCCTGACAGTCGCTAAAAATAAACACATCCGCTTAATAAGCCAGCAGGCAGAAGCCAGTGGGCAGCCAGCTCCCGGGACACACAGGAAAGCCGCTCGGACATGGAAACATTAACTATTATGAGCTAGCCCAGCAGTGGGGGTGGGGGCAAGTTGGGCCACGCCCCTCTTTATGGACTTGTTAAAGCCAATTTCAGACACACTGGGAATAGCTAAAGTATCCCCACAAATGGGTCACAGTTTGGGTTTGGCTCTTATATTTAATACGTTACGATCAAAGGTGCTTCTAATGGCACTTGGAACTCAAAGGCGTTTTAATATCAGTAAGCGTCTACCATAAATTTGGTAGTTTTATTAAGAAAATTGCATAAGAACATGTTGACACTTGCAGACAAAAGCCTTCCATTCCGTTTAGATGCAAGTATAATAGAGACATTCGATTTTTCTTAGAACTTGCACTCTGGTTGCTGGGAGAGATCGTTTGGCCTTTTGATTAAATTAAACTCAATCCCCATACCAAATTCGAACTTATTCGCCAGCTGAGCAGGCGAGGTGAGGTAAATGCATAAAAAATTGAATTGCATTGCCGAGTCCTTGACATTTTGCAAAATGAACAGAAGGCTGGCTGGCTGGCTAGCAGGCGATGGCGATGGCGGTGGCGATGGCTAAGGCGCGGATATCTCTCGCCTCCAGGCGGGGCCAATAAAAATAGTTGCCCGCTCGAATTGTATTTGCCGGGGCAAATGTGAAAAAAATTAGACCTGCCTTGTCGGGGCTTTATTAAATATTTGAAAAGCAGATGGAGGCAGAAGTGGAATGGCGATTGGCAAAACACAAGCTCGCACACACACACACACACACACACAGAGACAGTTAGATGGGAAAAAGAGGAGGCTGGCCTGCCGAGCTGCCAGGCTGCCAGGCTGCCACGCTGCCTGACTACCAGCCGTTTGTAGATATTTTCAATCATACTCAAAATGTGAAGGAACAACAATTTACGCTCAATGACACTCGACGGCGAGCTGTTGACGCTGCCTGCCCCCGAGTGATGCAGCTGGGTAACTCAAATAGTGGGGCCGAACGACAGGCAGTGAGGCAGCCAGGCAGTCTCCTTGTTGGACGCGAACCCGGGTGGTCTTTGCTTTTGTCGCTGCCACTTTGGCATTATCTGCTATCAATAAATTCCCAGTGAAGTGGGCACTTGTGTGGCAAGTGGAGCACAACGGGATACCCAACGGGGGGCGGTCTCAGCAGCTACCCAGCAAACCCAGCAGCCCATGCCGCACAGGAAGTGGCAGCGTGTAAAGTGAGCAAACTGTGTCGCTCTGGCCTTTAACCTTTTGCCTGGGTCTGGGCCTGGGCCAGGGCATGGGAATGGGCCTGGGTTGGCTGAAACTGGGATTGAGGCTAGGAAGGCCCTGGGACTTTGACTCGGCAAGCCTGTCATTTTGTGTTGCATACTTTGTGGCGGCGCCTGTGCAATGTTGCATGAAAAAGTAGCGTAAACTTTGCTCCGTTGAATGTGCCTTTTGCCATTGCCTTTGCCTTTGCTGTTGCTGTTGCCTTTGCCGTTGTCGTTGCCATTGCTGTTGCCTTTTTGGCCCAAATAAACGACACAGCTGTGGCTTGGAGTCGCTTGACTTTTGCCGTCTCTCTTAACGCCACGACATTTTCGATTTTGGACTTCTTGTTACGCTATACAACGAGTATAAGCCACATCATGCCACGTCGCGTGTATCTCCGTGTCCTCGTCTGCGTGCCCAGCACGCGATCTTGTAATCCTTAAACGTGCATTTGTACTCAGAGTCGCTCGATGTGTCGTTGCCTTACTCGTAGTCGTTCTCGTTGTCGTTGTCGCATTCGGATTCGGTTTCTGTTTCGGATTCGGATTCAGGATTTGGAGTCCTCATAGCCACCCATTTGATTTGCCTAATTTGCCAGGTTGCCATGTTATGCAAATGTTTGTGGCTCAGTGTAGAGCCTAAATATTTACTAATGAGCGCTAACCCAAAAAGGAGAAAAAAAAAAACGAAACGAGAACGAGAACGACAGGCAGTACCAAGCAGAGCTCCGGCTCTGCATAATTTGTGTGATTAAGTTGACAGAACGCCACAGTAGCTGACAACTAATGCCACAATTGCGGCAATTTCTTTGCGTTGTCCGAATGAATGTGTTGTATGCGGTTGCGGTGGGTGTTGGATGTTGTTGGCCCATGTGGATCTCCCCAGGGTAACAGCGGGTGTATTGGTTCAGCGCTGACAGCTGACAACTGTCAGTTGAGGTGGGAGATACACAGCGTGAAGAGAGGGGGATATATATTTGCCAGTGCCAGTGGTCGAATCCTTGCACAAGGGTTTCCAAAAACAAACATAAACATTGCCCCCGCGGACGTGTGACGGGTGAGTAATTACAAGACCATCGAGTGGCAGTTGTCATTTTTCAGTCGCTGCCTGCCATTTTAATGACTGCCACATGCAAATGTGACAATGACGATGTAGATACGGTCACTCCGACTGCGACTCCAACGGACGGGTGGCCTAATAAATGGCCTGCACTTAGTCAAAACTGTCGAGTAGCTCAACATTTATTCACTGCCAGGTCAAGCTGGCTGTCATTCAGCCTAATTAGCGCCGAGGCCGAAAAGTTTTGAGCGCATTTTGCAGCAAAATGATTTGAATAATCATAAATTACCATGAATTATGGGCCCCACGTTGGGCGGTAAAAACCAAAAAAAAAAAAACACTCGTATAGCACGCACCTGTCGCCTGGGGGCTGACTGGCTGGTTGGTCACTGCAGCAAAGTGTCAGGAGCGAAAACAAATTTATTGTTATTATAACTGCCTGCCTGCCAGCCTGCCTGCCAGCCGCCCAACTATAGTTGCTCCTTTTGTTTCGCTCGGAAAGTTCCGAAAAAGTGGGAGGTACCATGCGACCATGCTAACCATTATTTGGCCATAATTTAATGCGAATTAGAGGCGAGCTCGGCCCTCTATGATGTTATTAGCCTAATTGATAGTTGTAAATGTCACTAATTGAGTAAATGCCATTGAGTATGGCATACACCTACCTACTACCAACCTACTCCCTACCACTCTGCTACTGCTACTGATGATTTCGCATAATTATATAGACTGAATGATACTTACGCCGCTTGTACTGTGTGGATCCGTTTGTGGCCCGTTTCCTGGGCGATCAGGGCCATGTTGATGGCCAGCCAGATGGTCAGCAGCGGTGTGCGGGGCAGGGGCGCCATCCGGGCCAACTTGTCCATTCTTGAATCACTCATGGTGGTGCTGTGTTTGTGTGTTTGTTTGTTTGTTTGCTTTTTTCGGGTGTTGGAAGTTGAAATTTTTCGGGAGGGTGCGAAAGTTGCTTATTTAAAATGGCTGTCGTGCCTTTTCGTAGTTTTGCATTAAAAATTGAAGTTTTCTTTTTTTTGTTTTTTGTTTTTCTTTTTGGTTGCTTGTTTTTTAGGTTTTTCTTTTCTTTTCTTTTTTTTTGTTTTTAGTTGCGTATAAAGTAAGTTGTAGTTGTTGTTGTTGTTCTTGCTGTTGCAGTTATTAGTCAAGGTTGCTCCTTTAGTTTAGTTGCTAGCTGGTTTCCCCCGTTTTCGCTCGGCTACTTGCGCTTCTAGTCCAGGGCTTTCTCCGTACTTCTCCGCTTGTTGAAGTCTCTCAGTCAGTGAGTTAGTTGGTTGTTTAGGCAGCGAGGCATTCAGTCAGTACTTCAGTGCATGTGTATGGTTGAGTGGGTGTGCTTAGAGAGAGAGAGAGAGAGATAGATAGAGAGAGAAAGAGTGGTTCCCTTTGGAGACTTCTTTCTCCGCCGCCGTTCCTTTCTCCAATTCACGCCGGTCCGCGTCCTGATGGGAGATCGAGTCGAGCTCAGGCCAGTGGCAACAGATCCTGATGCGCTTCCTCGGCAACTGGTTTTGGTTCCGATTTCTTCCTCCTGCGGCATTAATTGCTGCTGCTGCTGCTGCTGCCGCTTTTTCTGCTCTGCCCGTAATCAGGTTACTTCCTGCCTTTCCAGCGTTTCAGCGACGCTCTTAGGGACTTCTTTTTTTTTTTTTTTGGTTTTCTTTTGCCTCCTCTTTATTTACTTTTAATTACTTCTATTCTGACGAGAGAGATGCCCGCTCATGTGTGTGTCTGTGTGTGTGTGTGTGGGTTAGTGAGTTTGTGTGCGAGCGCTTTGCAAATTCCTTGAAATTGAGCCTTTCGTTGCCTTTCCTTCCTGCCTTTCTCCGTCGTCCTGTTCTGTCCTGTGGGGATTCTGTCGGGATTGGGGGTCCTGGGCCTGGGAGTGAGTGTCTGTGTGTGTGTGTGTGTCAGTGTGTTAGTGGAGCTCCAGCAGAGTGTACATCGTGATATCCCGCTACGTATCGCTCTGTTCTGCGCTGCTACACCCCGCTCACACTGCCCCGCTCTATGCGCTCATTAATAATTACAAAATATCCGCACTGTTCATGGCTCTGCCTCTGCCGTTTGCGTTTTTTTTCTTTGGTTTTTCTTCTTTGTTTTTTTTTGGTTTTTGTTTTTGGGGTTTTAAATTTCAGAGATTTTCTATATTTGTCGCCACTAAATTCCGTCGGATTCCGCTGTGGTTTCAGTTTCAGTTTCAGTTTCAGTTTCAGTTGCAGCTACCTTACTGAGTTTCTGAGTTCGTCATCCCAACGGACGCTCCATCTCATCGCTCGTTCAATATCGTTGTGGATGTTCCGTTACGGTTTGATGTTATTCCAGCTATAATTGTCCTTTGAGTGCCTGCAACCTGCTCGAAGTGACCGATGTTGATGTTGGTGTTGCAGGCGACGGTGTTCATTTTATTGGTTTCGATTGCTAGAGCTTCGTTTCGCCTTAACTTTTGGCATTGTTTGTTAAGTGGTTACAGCTGTGGCTACGCTTCTCGGGGAACTATGGGACATATTTGCTAGATCTGAAAGTCTTATCTTAGTTCTTTGACTTTAACACTGAAAGGTTTTCAAATAAATAATGTAAAATTAATATAAATTTTTTAATTTTGTTTCACAAATGCGGGTCAGATTAGTAGTTTTAACTTTTTATGATTTATTTATAATTTTTTTCATATTTTATACGTTTAATTTTAATATTTTTTCACTCCGATTCAGTTTTTAATTCACTTTTTTGGTTTAATTTTAGATTTCCAGTTTCTAATATTTTAAATTTGCTTTTTAATAATTCATTTTTTCTTTTCAGTTTAGTACAAAAAACGGGAATCAGGGCGCGTCGCGTTTTACTTGAAAATTTCACGCTATTGCTAAAGAACATCCTTACACTCACACACCCAAAACTAATTTATACACGCATACATAAGCATTCACTCAGAAGCACACACACACACACACAGCCATACTCGCACACAGTCGTGGCAGACACTTTTGTATAGATTTTGTCGAGTTGCCGTTTCTTGTGGAGTCCCTTTTTTTTCTGGTTCTCTTGTACCGTCTGTGAGTTTTGCCAGCCGCGTTCGTCCGTTACATTTTCTCAGCTGAGCGTTTGAAAACCGTTTGGCAGGACAGCCAGTTGGCTAGCAGTCAGTTGGCCAGCTTGGAGCCGAGCAGCCTTTGCAGGACGAGAGACTGAGAGAGGGAGAGAAAGCCAGAGAGTCGGCCAAAAATAGCACGAGCCTGAGCCCGAGAAAGTGTGCTACACTTTCTGCAAAGAGCCAGAGAGAGCCCTCTGCTCGCTGTCAGGACTTCTATGTGTGTGTGTGTGTGTAGTTCGGCTGGCTCCTTTTGTGTGCTCTGGTGTTGCCTTGTTGTTATCCTTTTGGGCTTTTTGCAGAAATGTCACCGTGCACTCTCAGCTTTGGCAACCCCGGCAGTTACACTCTGTTTAGCATAAACGCTTGCTACTTGGCTCCAAAGGCCTCCTTTTCCCCCTTTGCTCCTCCTCAAACTTAGTCTATCATCTAGCTATGTGTGTGTGTGTGCTTGTGTGTGGCCTGCCTTTGTATTGGTTTTTTGTTTTTATAAATTTTTTCGCATGTGTTTTTTTACCCTAAGCACATTTGATTTGTATGCCACTTTTTGTGGGCTTCGCTCTTCGGGGTTTTTGTCCTCTTGCTAAATTTCTCGCGCTTTCTTGCACATTCGCACATATCTCGTTAATTGGTAAGCATGCGTTTTCCTGGGAATTTTCTTGTGCCTCCTTTTGCTTTGATTGCTTTTTGCGGCAAACCGAGAACAAAAAAAAAAAAAAAAAAGAAAGGATTTGTCAAGGCAACGAAGAAGTGGTTCGTGGTTGTGGGGTTGGGGGTTGGGGTCTACTGAGCATTGTTTCCTTCAGCCTGTTCAACTTGACAAAGAAAAGCAAGCTGGTATGTAAATTCCATATGCATATGTGAACCACTCATTCCTCTGTGTGTGTGTGTGTGTGCATAGTTTATATTCAATGATAAGAGTTTGACATTAATTAAAATGGCAAGAGTTGCGTGTGTGTGGCGGGGCTCACATTCGACATTTTACATTTCACTTGCAGCTTGGCAAATTTATGCCGTGCCCCCGTCGATGTTTTCTTTTTAACAAAAACAACAAGAACAAAAAAAAAGAAACCGCTTTTGTTTGGCTTGCATAAATACTTTCATATTGTATACGAAACGACGACAGTTATTAATGAGTTTTACCTCCTTCCGCTGCCTCCGTTTCGTTTTCGTTTTTTTTGTTTTGTGCTCTTCTACATATTTGATGGCCCACAACAGGGCTTTTAAATATGCAGTCCCTAACTTGAACTTGCATACTTAATGCGCTGGCAACTTTCTAATTACTTAATCCGATTTTACAGGCCACGTTTTCATGGGCAATGCCACCCCTTTTTGGCTCTTTTGGCAAAAATACTTTCCTAAAAACTGATTAAGTATCCGCCAATAAAACTAGAGGTCTTCAGTTCGTTAGCCCAAACTGCTCAATAAATGTAAAATTTCGGCTTTCATCAGGAATGGAAATTATGGATCCTTGAGTGCTCCCAAAACTGTGCTATACTATTCATAAAACTGAAACAAATTGAGCAAAAAGTCCACAGAAAGAAAAAATTTATGGGTTTGCCAAATAAATATAAGTTTCTAGATATCTTAAAAATTTGTTAATTTTTGCTAAATATTTAAAGCTATTAACTGGTTTTTCTATATCAGCAAATCTTTTAATCATTTCTTGCAAAGAGCAATAAAGATTTTCATTTTTCAAAGATTCCCAAACTTTTTTCTCTGTGTTTTTAACGGAGACGAGTGGCAGATTTCATAGTCAACTGCCATTCAAATATTCATGTGCAGGGCTGGAATCGGCTAAGACTTTAAGCCATTAACCTCGTGGCCGCTGTCATCATCAGAGTAGAGAAGCAGGGAGGAGCAGCAGCAGCAGCAGCAGCAGCAGCCTGTGCCCTCTCTCATTCACTCATCTAACGCCGTCCCACTCTGACGCCCTGTTGATGTGTGGCTGGGCACGTTTTTGGCAATTAAAAGCATATGCGGGCTAGGCCGCCTCCTCCTTGGGGCTAATCAACGAGGCCGCCCCAACAATTTGCTTGAAAATTAAACAAAGCAAAGGGCGTGCAAAAGGGGGAGTGGCTAGGGGGGGCGTAAGGTGGTCGGAGGAGGAGCAGCTGCCAAGACGATGAAGCTCACGAAGACCATGGCAGAGTGCCTACCACAAGCAAACAAGCGAATATACACACACACACACATACATAGATGTCTACGAAATTCGCTCACCCACACATGCTCAGATACACCAATACACACATACATACCACACGTTGCAGCAGCAGAAGGAACAGACTCCTTTTTGCCGTTGCCTTTTGTATTTATTTACTGCTTTTTTCTTTGACTTTGCGTGTGCCCGTATGTGTGTGTGTGTGTGTGTGTGTGTGCCAAACTCGGCCAAATTTTATATGAGTGTGACTGTGACTGTGTGTGTGTGTTAGTGCGTACGTGCGTGTTGGTGGTTCAAGTTTTTGGTTTTCCTTTCACAGCCGACTGATTTGATTCCCGAGTTTGCCTTTGCACTAATTTACTTAATTATAATTTTTATAATTTATCTGCATAAATCGTAATCGTAATCGTAATCGCAATCGGTTGAATTTTACAAATATATCCAGCAGTTTTCTCTCGCGATTTTCTTTTTGGTGTGTGCTTTGATTTTTCCAGCACACTAACACACGTACACTCGCGCTCTCCCTACACAAATACTGCAGCAGTTACGCCTTTTTTTTTCGCGACATTTGCCAAAAATGCGTTTGACTTGGTGTTTTCATTTTTATATCTAGTCCACTAGATTGTTGAATTTTTAGGGAATTTGGATTTATTTTTTTGCTTTGGTTACCAACAAAGAGGTGGAAAATGTATCTATGCCTGGGCTTTTTTTTAACAAAATTGTATCCGCTCGGCGTTAACGACTCGACTCGACTCGACTCAACTCGCTCACGGACTCAGCTCGGGCGTGTTTGATTTTTTTGCGGAGACCGAGACCGACTGGCACAGTGGCACTTACATCACGAAGCCGCGAAAATTCTGGGTGCGACCGGTTTACCGAATACAGCCGAAGGGACACGACGACCGCCGTTAGGATTCTCTCGGCTTGGTTTTCGCATTTCGCGTTTCGAGTGGAGAGCTTTCTCGGCATCGCACTGCTGGCACAGTTGTTGTAGGTCTCAGTTGGTTGCCTTGCTCCTGTAGCCATAGCCTATATATGTATGTATATATTTATACACACATACATACATACATATATACATGTGCAGATTGTTGTTGGTGCAGGCTTTAAGCACACGCAACTGTTTCGCTGTGTGTGTGTGTGCGCTTTGTGTACAACCGGGAATCGTTTTGCCTCCCACTGCCAACTTTCTCGCACACAAATCAACATAAATCAGCTAAATCGTCAGGATACAAGTACACACACACACACGCACATCCCATCCACCCATACACACACACAAATACCCTTAGAAACACACACACACACACACATACTTACTGGTGGGCAAAGCACTGTATTAGTAGTAACATACGAGGGCTGAGCTGGATGCACAGGGCTGGTTTGCATAGAGTGCAGTGACTAGTGGCTGGATCTCATGGCGTATGCGTAATGCAGTTGATGGGCAAATCTGTTTGCCCATGACTGAGCAAATTTTGACTGGGCAAACTTCATTTTAGCCTGAAATTGAACTTGATGTTTGGCAAGTGTAATCCGGTCTTATTGAAATATTCAATTATAATCCCATCGCGAGCTCAGCGTTAATTAAATCGTCTTGTAATTGCTAATTTTTTGAAGCCTTTTTAATGGCAATCAGGCAGCTCAGCAGGATTTATGTTTATTGTATTTAAGAAAATAAATTATAGGAGATAAAATAGGTAATAACATTGCTTATTTATTTTGTTTTTCAAACAGAAATTCATTCAATAAATCACTTTTAAGATCAATAAATGACTTTCCACCCATCTTTACATAATCAAATCTCTTAAAGGGTTAATAGATCTTTAGGTTTTTCTCTCCCTTGGCCAATTAATGATTAAAGCCCTATCCGAATAAAAGATTTAAATGTCGCGCTATCCGCAATCCCAATGTATCTCCCGCTGTCATATGCAGTAATGGCTTTTAAAATATATATCGCCAGCCATTAAATACATTTCCGTTCGGGGGGGGGCCCCGACCTCACATGCTACATGCTATATACACAGAGAGTTAGCACACAAAACCGGTTGGCAAATGGACATCCAGGCGGCCATTTTGTGGCCACAGGACAACGATGTGGGAGGCTGCTAGCGAGTCCTTTTGCCCGGCGATGTCAACCAAGTTGACTTTTTGATGCGCACTGCTGATTTTTTTTAATAAGCATAAATTTTGGCACGTAAAGCAATATGGGTAAGCCGCAGACACACACATATACACAGCGAAAAACCTACTAACCGTACTAACGCCTCCCGAACTTGCCCTGCCCCTCGGACCTCTCTCTGTGCCCTCGAAGGGCGCAAATTGATTGAGTCTGCCGTTGTCATTTGTCGCTGTGGCGGTCCCAAAATTTATGAAAATGAAATGCCACGCAGCGCTTTTCCGCTCTTCCGCTTTTCCGCTTTCGGCACGTGTGTGTATGTGGAATCTGGGCTTTATACACGTATGTATGTATTTGTTGGTATAGATGTATGTGTGTGGCAAGGCTGAGGCAGTGTCAAATTAATGAAACACATGCAGAGTCGCGTAATTTGTCATTTCGACAAATTTTTGAATTATTTAAACGGAAATCTTAACGTCAGGCAGCCAAACAAAATGTGCGCGCCGCGATTTATGCCACTTTTGTCATTTTGTCGAATGCGGGTGTGTGAGTGTATGTGTGTGTGTGTGTGTGTGTGCAACTCTGACTGTGACTGTAACTGTGACTCTTACTGTGAATGTGAATGTGACTGGGACTGGGACTGGGACAGGAATGGATGGCGTTTTAAAGACGGCGGATGATATTGCCAACCGAAAAATGCCAGCCAAGGCTCACAATTTCCATTTAAGCGGCATCGCATGTGTGTGTGTGTGTGTGTGAGAGCTGTTATTCCACTCTCGTCTGGGAGGAGCTGCATGCATTATGCATATCCTGAAATCAACGGGGATATTGGTTTGGGGATGTTGCTTAGCAGATTGGAAGCAATAACTTGATTTTTGAACAATTTTTAACCTTCTATAAGTAGCTTCCGAACCCTGATGATTTCCCTTAACTAAAAACTGATCATTTTTGAAAACTAATATGCATTTCTCCTGCTCAATTTCTGCGTAAAAAAGTTTAAAAACTAAGTTTAATATCAAGGAAAAAGCAGACTTAAGGATACCAAGTACTGAACAAGATCCAAGAGCTCCTCCGCCAGCTGAATATCCCTTAAGTTTGAATTTTTTTGGCAGTTTGGTGGCATTGTTGCTTGTTTCCATTTGCTTTTATGTGCCCAAAAAATGTTGGCTTTTGGACAAGGACGAAGGAGGGTGGAAGAGAGACGAGGCGGAGGCGGAACAAGCGGGGCGGTAAAGTGGGATGTGAATGTTGCTTGGCTTAATAGAAACGTAACTGCGTACAATTGCTGGCTGCCGTCTAATGGGGCACGCACACAGCCAGAGCACAGGCACAGGCACAGGCAAACACACATGAACTCATGCATGATGCTGCCAAAAAATGCTGCCTTATCTCATTTGAATGCGCCTCGAATACTGCGCGTTAGTTGCTCTGCTTTTCTTTTTTTTTTCCCTTTCTTGTTGCTCCTTTTTTTCCCCCCACAGCTCCTTGCTGGCTTCTGTGCGATTTCGTTTTGGCATTTGTTTTCATTCGCAGCGATATTTGGTGCTGCTTTGCATATTTTTGCCATAATCTGTATTATCGACGATTGCGACGCAGCAGCAGCAGCAGCAGCAATAGCAAGAGAAGCAGCTTCAGATTCGCAGCTGAATTATGGCCAAGTTGGTGGGGAAAATTGTTTCCTTCTGCCGAGATATATATTGTTTATGCAAGAGGCTCTGTCGGAAGACTCCCATATGGCATACTAATTGGGACGGCGCAGAGATAAAGACCTATTGCCGCTAACAAATATTAAATATTTCCTCAGTCGCCTGCAAAATGTCACTCTTAATTGGTTGACTTTACATATATACTTGTGTATGTCTTTGGGAATACTTTGTGGGGAGAAAGAAGGCTGAAGAAAATTCATTCCGTTTCCACTCTGACTTCCATTTTCATTTTCATTTTGTTTTTTTTTTATATTATATATATATTTTATTTGACTTTCTCTTCTTTTTTGGGGGGAGGGGGGTGGGCAGTGCTGCGGATTCTCTCGTTTGCTCTGTTCTTTTCTGTTCTGCTCTTTTTTTCGGGTCACTTATGCAAACAAAGTTATTAATTACACTTGCCGCTAGTTGGGGCGGCTGATGCTGCTGTTTCTGTCGCTGCTGCGACGGCCCAAGGACAAATTAAGTGGTCACCAGTGCACCAGTGTTGGAGAGGGGAGGTAGGAGGTAGGAATAAAAGTTGAAAAACGCCCGAAAAATGACCACGACCGTAGCCATTGGCCATCGACAAATAAAACGTAATGCCAGCTACAAATTTGACCTAAAAAGATAAATACTTTTGCGAAAGTTTTTGGCCAGGGCTTTGCCTGTTTCATTCGACTGCCTCTGTGTGTTCATTTTACGTGGCGCGCAGCACACGTTGCGTATACGTCATGGCCGATTGCCTGCGTTCACGTTACGTATACGCCGCCTAGTTCAGCCATTTGTGTTTTTCTTCTTGCCACGTTACTGTTGCCTTTTTACTTTGTTATTTTTGTTATTGTTGTTGTTGTTTTTGTTTTTTAAATTTATGTATCTAAATTGCTGTGGAACAGAGTGGAGCATTTTGCATGGCCATAAATCGCTGGCAAGAGCCATGGACAACAATAACAACAAACCAGCGAATATAAAAAGGCAACCGCACCAGAGTGCGCTAAAAATAAAATGTGAATAAATAATTTGCACTGCGTCATGTCAGAAATTTTAAACACATAATTAACCGCTTATTTAACCCTTCTGTTGGCCCCGTTGCCAGCGCTACTACTGCTGCGCCAGATTACTTTGGTTGGGCGAGAATTGAGGGGTTCGGGGGTTAGGGAGGGGTTTCAGGGTTCCGAGGTTGGATGCTGCAGGGAGGCCACATGAGAAGCGCTGGAAATTCATTAAAGTTGTCTATGCTCGGGGCGTTCGCAGAACGACAATCGGGGCCAGCCCCGCAACAATGCCTTTTCTGGGACTGGGCCAGTAGGGGCAATGACGACAACGACAACGGCAACGGCAATGGCAACGGCATATACAAATACAGCGACAACGACAATGTTCGAAACAAAAGCGAAACAAAAACAAAAAAAAACAAGAGGAAACGCTATAGTCGAGTGCCGCGACTATAAGATACCCGTTACTGTTTTACACAATTTTAAAATATTAATTTTGCTAGTGGAAATTCACAAGGCGCCACCTATTGTCAGAGGAAGTATGTTGAGTATGCTTATAGTGACGTCACTCCCCATGTAAGGCCTTATAACTTAATTTCTTTATAAACAGCGAAAAAATGTTCCGATTTGAAAAATCTTTTGTAAATCGATAGATATTAACAAAAATAAGTTACACAAGGTCAAACGAAGGCATTCATAATAATATTATAGACTCCACAGTTTTCCGCGGTTTGTGGGCGTTAGAGTGGGCGTGGCCGGATGCAACTTCGTGGCAAGTTGCAGAGGCATCTCCTAAATACGTGTTCCTAAGCAAAATTGTGTAGCTTTTATAGTTTTCGAGATTTTTGGTTTTTCGGGTTTTGTGGGCGTTAGAGTGGGCGTGGCGTGATCGGAAAAAAACAATTCGCATTGGGAGCATCATAGAAACATACATGCATGATCCGAACTTTCTATCTCTTATAGTTACCGAGATATCAGCTTTTCTAGAAAATCCGAAAACCGTCTTTTGAGCCTTGTGGGCGTATGGGTGGGTGTGGCCGGATAGTAGTAGCACTATAAGATGCGCTGTCATCTAAAGATTATACTTTCTGAATTTCAACTTTCTATCTACAATAGTTCCTGAGATTTCAGCAATTTTAGTTTTTTGCTATTTGTGGGCGTTAGAGTGGGCGTGGCAGGATGCTGTAATAAACTTGCGCTGTCCCGGGACCTCAAGAATCTTCATGCTTAATCTCAGCTTTGTATCTGCTATAGTTCCTGAGATCTCAGCGTTCATACGGACGGACGGACGGACGGACGGACGGACGGACGGACGGACGGACGGACGGACAGACGGACATGGCTCAATCGACTT